GATGATGCCACATCCACCTCTCCACGGCTGTGCGTAAACCATCTCGGCACTTGCACGCTGTGGGAGGTGTAACCAGCTCTTCACCATCCCGCAGGATATAATCTATCCGTGGCATGACGAAAGTACGCAGAGCGTCTATCTTCTGCCACGGTGCAAGGAGGGAATCGTCGATGGATTCAGCATCCGTCATCATGCTGGTAAGAGTGTCAATGGGAGTTTGGTCAATCTTGAACCCCGTCGGGACACCCAGATAGTCATAGGCCTCTCCCTCCCCCAGCGACTTCATTTCTTCATCGTCTATAATGAATTTTGTGTCTTTAATGTAGCGCTTGCTGCTTTTACCAGAAAGATAGAAGGTGACACATTTGGACGGGTTGAATTTAATTCCAACCCGTCTGGCAGCAACGCTTGCGGTGAGGAGAAGCTGAATCATATCCTCTTCCGAGGAAACAGTAAAGCAATAGTCGTCCGCATACGCACATGACGCAATCCTTTTGCCATTCAACATGTAGCCACGGTTCCGTTCTTCGATTGCTCTCAAAACAGAATCGGTGGCAATGTTGAAGGCAATTGGACTTGCTGGACAACCTTGCTTTGTGCCTCTCTTTAGAGGTATGGACACCGTGAAGCCTTCACTGGTGCGAACCCTCGTCGTGCATCCAGTATAGAAGCATTTGATGAGGTTTTGTATTAGATTAGGAGCGCCAATACCTTCAAACGCATCGAATAACACCGCATGCGGGATGGAACCAAAAGCATTGGATGCATCCAAACATGCGACGATAATGTCCTTTCCCTTAAGGAGAAAAAATAAAAAAGTAAAAAAAATCACAGATATTTATTTGGCAAGATCAAGTATAATAATTTTTAATTTAATGGGAATTATTAATAAATTCCCAGTATAAAGGTATTTAGGTATTACACACAATGTGTTTAAGTAAGATATCACTCAAGTAAGATTAAAAGTCTCTTTATTGTGATAAACAATAATCATAACAAGTCCATCCCAGGTGGTACATAGTAGAATACATATACTTGTCATAAAATTAAAAAAAAAAAAGTTCATAGAAATAGAGAACATATATACGCCCTGCGTTATACAACCATTTACACACACACACACACACACACACACTCATACTTAATTATACAATACTTGTTGACTTTAATCTTTTAATTTTTTCAAAAAATAAATCAATACACTCATTCATTCACTCGCATGGTCCAACCTTCCGTCAGAGGAGCGACAAGCGCTGCGGCCATCTCACCCGTCTCGTCTGGTGGCCACACCTGTCTTTCTGGCAGGTCAGCTTCCAGTGGAGAATCGTCCGAATACATGGTTCGGAAATACCTGTCCACTTCATCCTTAGGCACCTGGCAAAAGGGTGAAGGTTCGTTCAGGATTTCCTGCATGGCTTTTCGCCGATTCTCCCTGTAAAGCTTTTGTATTCGGGTGGCAGCACGAATCCTGTCACCCTGCACTGCCTGATCTTGTTGCAGGTACCTCTCCGCCTGGCGAGTGGCTGGTCTCTGGTCTTCACGGGCTTGTGGGGGTTGAATCGTCGACGCGGAAAGCCTCAACTGGTTTCATTTTTTCGGTTACGCCGAGTCTGGGAATGGGGGACGTTGGGGGATCCGCGGTCGTTGTTGTCGGCACATACACTCAGAGCCATCAGCAGTTGGCTAGCAATGACTAGCCAACGCAAATAGTCTCTTAAGAAAACTTGACTGATCCAATAGTGATTGAGGTGTCATAATTTTTTGTCGACAACTTTCAATAACAATACTCGTGCCTTTTCTCGTATTAAAGTTCTCATATTACCTAATCTATCGAATCTTGGTGCGATAAGATAAGAAATATATGGCTCGAAATTATGTTCCATCCAATCTGCATCTTGGAACTGAGTATTTCCAAACTATTTTGGACAAACTGAACGTCATTCATATGCAAATATGAAACGAGTTTTTTAATTATTAATTTTATACGTTGCGATTAAATGCTAATGTTTGTATCATTCATGTATGAACGAAATCCTGAAACAATATTTTTCATCGAATGATCATCAAATAAAGACTAAAACTCATCCATACTTCCCATACTTGATATTATATTTTTGTAAAGATTTTTGAAAAGCCTACATGTATCAATTTTCAGACATTTATGAAAAAAGATGCAACTAATTTCGATCTAACTTTATTGTTCGGAAAAATTCAATAATGTTTAATTTAGCTGTTTATTACACTAATGTCGGAGTTTAGATAAAGGACACAAAATTATGATGACTGACGCCATTTTAGATACTCGTTTGCATGAATGCTCAGTGGGAATTCAATCGATTTTTTTTTCTGTCTTTCGACTTATTCTGATACATTATATTTATTTAAATAATATAATATATTATTTACTTAGACATAATTATGTTTTAAATGGATTATTGAGCTGAGTCTGGCTGTACTTCAATGCCAGGCAACTCGTGGCGGAACCGGAGCAAGCGGAGAATCGTACCAGATATTAAGCTGATAAGAACAGATTTAAATCCCTTTATTGAACCAAAAATAGACAAGCACACTCACTCACACTTATATTTGCCATGTGGTGGCTGTGTTACAACAATTGTCAAGTACAGTTTATAAAATTGTAGATATAATTGTACCTTTGTACATATATAATATAAATTAGTAATAAGTAATTCTACTCTTATTTAGAGTCCAGGATCTCCTGAACCACGTAGTTGTGTTCGAGACACCCCTTATAGCGCAGGAAACCCTTTTGTGGTGAGCCATGTCCTCTTCCGAGGAAGCAGTAAAACAATAGTCGTCCGCATTTGCACAAAACGCAATCCTTTTGCCGTTCAACTTATAGCCACGGTTTCGTTCTTCGAATGCTCTCAGAACAGAATCTGTGGCAATGTTGAAGGCAATCGGACTTGCCGGACAACCTTGCTTCGTGCCTTTCTTTAGAAGTATGGGAGCCGTGAAACCCTCGCTGGTGCGAACTCTCGTCGTGCACCCAGTGTAAAAGCTTTTTATGAGGTTCTGTATCAGCTCTGGTGCGCCGATACCCTCAAACGCATCGAATATCACCGCGTGCGGGATGGAACCAAAAGCATTGAAAGCATCCAGACACGTGATGATAACATCATTGCCCTGGTGTTCTCCATCCTCCAGGATCTCCTGAATCACGTACTTATGCTCCAGGCATCCCTCGTAACGCAGAAAACCTTTTTTGCGATGGAGACAGCCTCTGTCCAGCGACCACGAAACTCGTGATGCGATCAGCAATTAGGGTAGCAAACAGTTTGTAAACTGTATTACCCATCGCGAGAGGACGCCAGTTAGACAGGTCGTTTCGATCTCCCGTCTTGTGTATCAGCACAGTGTTGGAGACTTTCCACGACGCTGGTATGGTCCCCAGACGCATACACGCATTATAAACTGCAGTGAGCAGCACAAAGCTCGGGTCGGCCCTCTTCAGTGCTGCGGTCAGCTCACCCGTGTCGTCTGGTGGCCATACCCGTCTATCTGGCAAATCAGCTTCCAGCGGAGAATCGTCCGAATACATGATTCGGAAATACCTGTCCACCTCATCCTTAGGCACCTGGCAAAAGAATGAGGGTTTTTTCAAGATCTCCTGCATGGCTTTTCGCCGATTTTCCCTGTATAGCTTTTGTATTCAGGTGGCAGCGCGAATTTTACCACCCATCCCTGCCTGATCTTGTGGTAGGTCGCCAATTTCTTGTCAAGCTCCTCCAGTTCGTTCCAGGACGAATATTTAATAATATTTATATACACGCATAAGCATGCGTTAACATATAAACTAAAAATTAATTATAAAAATACAAACTAAACTACAAAAATTAATAATTACAGACAGTATAATCATTAATAGTACAAATTTATCTTCGATCATACTTTTTATGTAATAATATAATTATGTACATCTTTTGTCTTAATATAATGGCATCATTATTTATTTATTACAGTACTGACTATCTATTAAAAAAATCTTTTTATATTTTAATAATGTTTTGATTATTAACTAACATATACCGAAATTAAAATTTATATAACAAAAAAAATTTAGATAATTACAATATACTTTTATTGAAATTAATATACAGTACTGTTACTGTATAATTAATAGTTCTTAAAATACTGGCCTAAATTGTTAAATATATAAAGTAAGAATCACAGTATAATATCTGACGTTATTAGTACAAGGACTATTTTATAAGCTCGATATTGATTTATTTGCGTGCAAAAACTATTTTATTTATTGTTTATATTAGAAAGAGTGTATATGACTTAAAAAATTTTATAAAAACACTCGATTTGAATATCAAATTTTAAGTATCAATAATTATTATAATTATTATTTTATAAGTGGGCATATATTTCAAAAGTACAAATGTTTATAATATTTTAAACTTGTTAATCCATTTCAATTTTGGTAATTATTTAAATAGACTCTGAATTGCAGCGAATCGATCAATATTCATTTTTTTCTGAACACATTTCATGAGCTTGTTCATTTATTTTCTTTCATCTCTTAATTATATTAAGCATTTTCCAAATATAAATCCTTTAATTTTTAAATTTGTACTTTTGATTAATTAACCCATATAAAATTTAATACTACGAATTAGCACCTCATTTAGATATCAATTTCTGAATAAACTGACATATTTATTACTTCAAAATTTTACGGATTTTTAATCCTGATATTTAAAAATTAAGTCAATTTAATTATACTTATAATTATAATAAAATACTGTTGAAAAATTTTATAAAAGGTGATTTTAAATTCCAGGCCACTGTTTAATTTTTAAAATATTCTTAGGTCCCGAAAATTATGACTATTAATAATTTCAGGTACAAATAGTTTTGAGCCTGAATTATACAATAAAAACTCGACGTATGTCTTTTCCATGTTATATAATGAAATTATAAAATATTTTAATTGAAGTATTAAGGCGAAAAAATAAGTGGTTCTTTGCTGATTAATCTCCGACATCTGAATCTTTATCACCGATTTCGTAAAGAATATAGAAAGCGATACCTAACAATGCTGTTCCCAATAAATCACCAGCAGCCGTAAGATACGGAATCGCTGAGCTATCAGGATCCATGCCGCGCGACCACATCCAAACAACCATCAATTGAGCGAGGTATAAAAGTAAAATTACCTTGAAAAAAATATTTTTATATTAATTATTTTATAATTAAATAATTTATCAACTTTATTGACAGTCAATGTAACTTACTTGTAAAAGTGCCGCTAATAGATACACGACAATAAATGTCGCCGTAAAGGAAGTATGTCCTGCTCGGAGATAACTTATAGTATAACTAAATATTAAGTGACCAGGTATTACCATCATTAGTAAAATTCTGGCAATTCTTGAATGCCCACCTGAAATAATTTTTTTAGTCAATTAATTTGAACTAACAACCTTGCAGTCACTATGTGACTGCCGTGACTTGTGAACTATAAATAAATAAAATGTTGCTTTATTAAATAATGACTTTTGTTAAACTGCACTGTACTTTCTTAACTATTGACGTTTTTAAAGATATAAGCTCATCCCCATGTTACACTCATCAAGAGCTTTCATTTGAGTACCCACATGCATTTTGATATATTTTTCATAGAATACATATATATAATATATATACAAATATATGAAAAATTGATGTGGGTACTTATATGAAAGGTCTTGATGAGTGTAACATCGGTATGAGCTTATATCTTTAAAAATTTCAATAGTTCACAAGATCATATAAATACAATGGCCGCAAAATTTTGCTTATACTCTTAATAATATGGATTATAAATTAAGGATAGAATAAAAAATAAAAATTTAAATTACCAGGAGATAAAAATGCATCAATAGGGCTAATACAAATTTTCAAAGGTTTTTCCACTTTTCCGTTGTGTTGTTCTAAATGAAGAGATGTCGATATTCTTGATGCTTGCACAGCAACTAAATTTCCTCCAACCCCATTAATTACCAATTGAAAAACAGCTATGCCTTTGTAATTAGATATTGTAAAGTCTAATATCAATCCACCGATGCTAAAATTACAATAAAAAAAATGAATTTTGATAAAATAATTAATAAAACTGAAATATCAATGGCAAATGATTACCTGCTGATTAACATAGCTGAAATAACAGGACTCCAACCATAGTTAAGAACTTCTTTGGTAAAAGGATTCTTAGCAGCAATATATCCCCAAACGGGCGTCGCTAATAGACAGCAGACAATCATAGTGGGTGCAATCCATGGTTGATTGTCGATAGATCGATACAAAAGGGAGGCTACCCATGACAGTAACGCGAGTGTTGTCAAATCACCGAGCGATGCAGCAATTGGGGTGGCAACATTGTCAGGGTTAATGTTCATCCGTTTAGAGAGCAATATAACCGCGACCATTACAAGACCAAGCAGGAAACTGGCAACAGAGGCTGTGACAAGTGCACTGGCACACAATAATAGTCCATGGTGAATATTAAAGTGAGCCTCTGGTATCCATCCGAAGATCACGGCTGCCAAGGACGCCAATAAGCCAACCACCATCGACTGGCATTGGATCAGCGCTAGATTACCAATTATTAACGTCCACTGCTGCTTCTCTGTGTCCATGTGACCCAGATTCGCGTGGGTAGACAGCCGAGAGGCCAGAGTCATTTCGAGGTTTCCTTTCAACCCCAATAATGCCGGTACCAAAATATACACCTCTGATACTACTTGATATACTGGCCAGTGCTAAAATTAATATTTATTTTAATTCTTAAATTGGTGCTTGAGATAAGGGCTTTGGAGTTCATTAAAACAAACACTGGCATTTTAGTGTTTGATAATGATAATATTATCATATATGTAATCAAAAGAGTAAATTAAATAATTCTCAAGTTTCATCATTAATGTACTTGAGTATCTAAAAATAATTTTTGAGTTGTAATTTTTTTTTTTTTTAATCATTTAATAATAAATGTTGATATTTTTTTAAATTATTTATTTTAAGATTATTACCGGATATCCGTAATTCTCTTAATTGGATTTGAAATTAATAATAACAATTTATTTATTACATATAAATAACTATAATATTTATTTTTAAACTCCAATAATTGATATCAAGAAATTTATAAAGTGTTGCAAGTCAAAACAATAAATATTTAAAAATTAAGTAAACTTGTAGTTACTAAAAGAAAATAAATTACTCTGAAGATTTTGAAATTATTAACAAATTAGTTTTATGTCTTCTTTGAAGTGTAATAAATAAGCGTTTAATTATACATACTTGGACGACATCAAGTAAAAGACTCGCTGCGACCATCCCGAATCCAGCAAGTAAAAAAGGAATAAACATCTGGACAGAAATAGTCCAAACATTTTCACTTTCTCTTTCAATCTCCGTACGCTTGGTCTTAACTCCATTTTTTTTGGATTCCTCAAAGCTAACACGTGGCTGCAAATTCATCGGCGAAGAAGAAATAAGATGACTGGTATCTTGATCATTATCATCATCCGAATCTTCTGAATAAACGGTGAGCTCCGTCGTCACATCAGCAAGTGCTTTGCTGAGTGACTCTCCATGTCCAAAACCCACCATTTCTGCTCTAGGATTATTCTTGTCTTTAGTTTTTTTTCTGTATCGCAATGGAATTTTCTCTGGATCACAAGTTCCAAGCTTTGCATCGCTCATTCTCTTTGACAAGATACTTGTAAATCACCACAAAACACTGAAATTTAAAAGATTCTTAATTTAGGTAGTATTATAGTTTTAAGCACTTAACTTAAGCCAATTCACTAATTATACTGATGAGGTAGTTTTGATCGTTATAAAATTATGATTATACTTAAAGGTTTTAAATATTAATCAAGCAGGAGTTCAAAAACTAACTAAAGTTAAGATAATATTGATGCACATAGTCTACTCTTAGAATGAGTGATGCCACTTGACCCCAAGTGCTAATCTCAGTTGAATTCATTTATAGAACAAGACGTTTGCTAACTTCAACGGTTTAACTATGCCAATTTTATTTTTCTCTTCAATTTTATTACCTTTAAAAATTCTTTTATTCGCTGAACTAAGGATGTACTTCAATAATTGTTATTAATAAATAATTATAGACCAAAATTAATCTTTAAAAAATAAAAAAACTTTTTTGTACAGTGCGGATCAGTAAAAAATGTGACAAAGTAGAAGACAAATGATTTATATTGAAATAAATAAATCTATGATAAAAAAAAAAAATACAATTTTAAAAAATTGTAAATAAATAATGAAAATTAATTTAGCAGATACTCAATAATTTTAACAAATAAATTGTAGCAAAAAAAATTAGAAAAAAATTGACAAGTAAAAATTTAAAAATACAATTTTTAAAAAATAATTTTTTGGAATAAATTTGTTTGTTAAAAAAAATTAAAAAATAGTCAAGTGACAGCTAACTTTAATGTCAAAAATAAATATATTTTGATAATCTTCATGTTTATACTTTAAACATCTTTTTTCTGATTACTTATGTTGTTTAGTAAATTTAATTATTGTTCGTAAATTGTAAAAACACAAAATTGCCGGATGTCTTGATTTTTCTGTATAATTCAACAATATTACAAACAAATAAATGACGTGCCTAAATGAATCCTAAAAAAAAAATAGAAAATTGTTTTTTTGTAAAGCTGTAGATTAAAAAAAAATTGCTAGGTAATAAATATGAAAGAATGAATTTAATAAAACAAGTTTTTTAGTACCACTTACCATTTTCATGCTGTTCCCACATTATTTATCTAAACAATTAACAATAACAATAAATATAGTTAGTGTTGATTGCACAAATTACGGGGTTATAATTATTGTACTGTATTATTTAAAAAAAAAATATTTAGGTAATCTATGTTTTGTAGTATATTGTCAATTATGAAACATAGTCTAGAGATAAGATAACAGTTGATTATTTTAAAATATATGTGCTGATAAAATATAACCTTAAAATGAAATTTACCTTTATTTAAAATTAGAGTATTCGGCAGATATTCATTTAAAAATGACCAATTACTTTTTTCAGGTAAGAAAATGACAATGGAATTCAAGTATTGTCGGTGATTGAGTAAATGGTGGATAATATCAGGCTGAAATATTAAATTGAATGTCAAAGTGATTAACTACGTCAATGAAAACCAGCACCACTGATATGATGAATGTGCTCGCTGAGCGTTTGCGCTCTTACTGATGAACGGAAAATAAACAAAATAATATAATACTGCCGCAAGTTTCTTTCTTGCAGACGCGAGTGCTTATTTTTGATTATTTAATTGATGAAATTATTAAAAAATAATTAATGAAATGAAAAGCAGGAATGTTAAAGAACTTGTCAGAGGCAAAAAAGTTTTAAAAACTTGATAATTAATGACACTAAAATCAACTGACAATTTACAATTTTTTAATAGTTAAATTATTATAAAAAAATTTAATAACATAAAATTGTAAGTGCGAATTGATTTTTATAAAAATTTAAAAAATTGTCAGATTTCTGCTGATTTCAGTTTCATGATATTAATAAAAATTAATTTAGCCGACATCTGAAAATGTTTGGGATTTATTTTATTGATAAATAATTCAAAAGTAATTAGAAGAAAAAATTTCAAAGGTATAAAATTTTAAAAGCTATACGTGTAATTTTTAAAAAATATATTTTTAGTTCTAATTTAATTAATAAAAAAAAAATCAAAAATTGTTGAACGTCGGCTAATTTTAGTATCATTGATATTATATTACACTGAAATCAACAGATGTCTGACTATTTTGTAGATTTTTATAATAATTTAATTATTATAAAAAAATTTGACATTTTGAAATTTAAAAAAAAATTGTAAGTGCGACATAAAAGAAATATTTTTTTCATCATAATTGATTTGTTATAAAAAATTGTCAAATTTCTTGTAATGGTGAATTTATAAAATAAAAAAAAAATAATGCAAACGCAAGTAGGAATCACTGAAATATACAATAATTTTCTAAATATTTAAATTTTGATGATACTGAAATCCGCAGCCATTTGAAAAATTTTTTTATTTTTATAGAAAAAAATTATTTAAAAAAAATTTAGCCTTGTAATTTTTTTCAATCTCTAGATGTGGATTTTTTTTTTTTTAATTTTTTCATAGTAATTTAATTGTTATAAAAATCAAAAAAATTGACAAATGCCTTTAATTTCAGAATCATCCATTTTGTCATGTAACACAACTCTCATTTAAGTAAAAAATAAATTTTGCAAAATTTATTAAAAAATTTTCAATTGTAAATCAAGAGTTAAAATTATCACCATAAATTCAGTTTAATAAAAAAAATCTAAATATTAAATTTTGAATAAAAGAAGAAATATAATTAATTAAAAAATGATTTATACTTATAAGAAGCTAAAATAAAATAAAGAATTTATACTTTATAATAGTAGAAAACCATTAATGCTGTTCATATATAAATATCTTTTGAAACTCAAAAAGAAAAACATTAAATATAATATATTTTAAGTCATTAATCTATTCTAAGCCTATATTTTCTATTAACAGATCTATAAATAATGTAAGTTTGTATTTTACTGAAATTAATGTACACCAGTTCAAAGTTTTACCAGCTCTTGTACTTCCTAGCTTTTAAAACCAAAAAAAAAATTTTACCGTCTGAGAAGTATATGATTGACATTTACACATGTATGTATTCTCAAAATATACCAGTCGTCTCCCGTCCGAAATAACCTTTGTTCCCGTTTGGATCTCTTCAGAGGTTGCTACAGACACGAGAATAATCCAAGCTTTTCACAAACCTATTAGTACCGCTGTGATCACTCTCACTAGGCTTCCAAGGCGAGAGGTAACCACTCTTCAAGTTATCTGAAACACCAAGTTAGATAAATAAATAATATAGTCTTCACAATATATACCAATCAAGGTAATAAAAATCTACTTACCAAATTAATAATAAATTAAAATTAAACCCTGTGAAATATTAAAACAATTTTTTGTTACATAACAGCAGAGAAACAGAATGGGCCGTAACAAGAAGAAAAACAAGAAAATAAATTCCAGTGAAGAAAACACAATTGCCGACAAAATAAAAAATGAATTAAATTTAAACAATGACAATAACAAATTATCATTATCACTATCATCAGCCTCGGGTTCACCGTCAGGAATTTCTATATTGGACATTTACGAACGATTGAATCTTCCGTTGAAGCCATCGGGAGTTGATTTGTCAGTTGACAGTGATGATGAAGAAACGCTTGAGTTTCACATCAGACCTCGTGTTTTTTACGTGTCCAATTTATGTTTGGTTTGTATGAACATCTGTACCACAGGTGTTAAGTGCAATAACTGTGGAATGGTTTTTTATTGCACGGAAAATCACCGCGAAGAAGATAAATCCAAGCACAGTGAACTTTGTTGCGCGTTATCGCGAGTCTGCAAAGGAATGGAAGGATTTTCATTGGCAAAAAGTCTGCCTCCTGATTTGTACCGGTCTTTTCGTATGAAAACAATAGACGTTGTTGAAAGATTAATCCGCAGGCGTCTAGATTTGTGGGAACGTGAAATATTGTTGTATCCAAAAATCTGCAGGTCGTGCAAAAAAATAGAAAATGATTTAACTTGCTGCTGTAACTGCGGGATAGATTTTTACTGCAGCAACCACAAGGACACGCATGACAAGTGGTGCAAAGATTTTCAGGTATTTAGAAAAATTTTGTGGATGCAGCATCAGCATGGTTACGTCGATCCTGATGTTCCGGTTGTTTTCTACAAGGAACCTCATATTCTTCCGGATAATTTTGACCTGCTGATGTACCAGATGCACGACAACAGTCCGGTTTATAGGCGCATTGATTGCTACACTTATGCAAGCTTGTCTTACATTTCAACTGCACCTTTGACTGCTTTGTTTGCGATGCAGAAGTCCATCGATGGCTGGCAGTTGAAAGAAGAAATGGTTATCCATATAATTGGTGCTGAATTTCAGTTTGAGTGCGCGGCTTTAAGAGTCTGGGAAAAATTATTCCTCCACTTTTTGCCCAAGTTGAAGAAATTGCACCTCGAGTTCACGGGACCTGAGCTATATTTACCACCCCAATTGCCTTGTGAATTGTTGGGTAAAATAAAAATGTGCAGACGTTGCAAACTGGCCAAGCGAAAAATTTATATTTCGTTTAATGATCAAAAATTGTATCACAATACAGAAGATAAAAAACCTACGGATCTAATTTGTCTGTTTAATCCGGGACTTTATCGAGAGACTGGCTACGATGGCACGGACACTTGGCCATTGACTATTAAAAAATTCTGTCAAGCTAAAGTCCCAGTTGTTATCACTTCTTATACCGAGTTTGAAATCCCACATGATATTCAGAGGATTAAATCGATTTGTGGAGTTAAAATTCTACTGGAGCCACAGAGAAATCCCTTTGCTGCAGTCAAACCTGATCGGAATTTTGTTAGTGATGATGTTGTGCCTTTAATGTATAAAAATTATTGTATAAGTATTGTTAAAGGATTATAATTAATTAAGTGTTGATGATTTTATACTTACAAATATATTTAATTAATTAATTAATAATCTGTTTTATATTGTTAGAATTGAGTGAAACTTGTGAATGTAAATTAGTATATTACAACCCTAGGCCAGAAAGTTGGATTTCCTGTCGTATGGGATATGATGGCCGAGGCTACGCCAACATTCTGGTCGTGGGTTGTATACTATTTTTCTTGCTCTCCACCCGAAAGTACGCAATTCCGCGGAAGGGGTTTTGCAAAACCGAGGTTTTGCCGGGTGCAAGGGGGGCGCCGCCCGACTTTTGCAAAGCCGAGGCTTTGCTGGTCGGGGTGGACAAAAAAAAAAGTAAAAATTAATAAATTAAAAAAAAAAAAAATAAGTTATTCTAAAGTTTACTAACAACTGTTCTAATTTAGAGTGATAAAATGCACAGAACTTGGCACAAATATTTAAACTCGTTCTAATAACGGAATTTATTTTTTTGAGTTGATTAAAAATTAGTTTTTAGTTAATAATCGACGGCTAAGAAAGATTGAAATTAAATGATTAGAAGCTTGTAGAGTACATGTACCTATTATTTTATAAACATTGCTTGACTAGCTGTCAAAATATAAAAGAAAGCAAATAAAGTCCACAAAACTCTTATATTTTATTTTATATAAACTTTTTATATGAATCATTTATGTAGTGTTATTATTAAATAGTTCATTAATAATAATCTAGTTATAAATTATTTTTTATTTTTCTGCCCTCCGGCCGGAAAGTGGCAACTTTCTGGCCGCTGCGCTAAACAAAGTTGCCAAATTCCGGCTACGTCGAGCAGAAAAATAGTATACACACCTTGGCCAGTAAAAAGTAAAGCCTCAGATCTGAGACTTTTCTTATTTTACTGGCCTAGGTATGTAGTATACTATTTCTCTTGTATAATTTTTTCTGAAAAAAAAAAAAAAAAAAAAGAATTTAATAAATTAATTTTTATAGTTGAAGAGTTAATTATAATGTTAATTATTTTATTGTAAAAATTACAAAAATTTACACAACTGATTATTTTAAATATATGTTACTTGTGACCGCAACTATTTTACAGTACAATTAGCACACCCTGATTAAAACCAAATTCCGGCTACGTCGAGCAGAAAAATAGTATACACACCTTGGCCAGTAAAAAGTAAAGCCTCAGATCTGAGACTTTTCTTATTTTACTGGCCTAGGTATGTAGTATACTATTTCTCTTGTATAATTTTTTCTGAAAAAAAAAAAAAAAAAAAAAATTTAATAAATAATTTTTATAGTTGAAGAGTTAATTATAATGTTAATTATTTTATTGTAAAAATTACAAAAATTTACACAACTGATTATTTTAAATATATGTTACTTGTGACCGCAACTATTTTACAGTACAATTAGCACACCCTGATTAAAACAAAGAATGCAAAAGAGGTCACCAAATGCAATTTTATACCTAAAAATTATAAGTAATAGATTTTATAAATCTAATATTATATCTAACTATTATTTTTTTTAACCTGGACAATAACGTAAGTTCTAAAAAATAAAGTCACAAAAAAAAATTGAACTAAATCTTAATTTTAAATAATTCATTCCTTAATTAAATTTCAAGCGTATTAAATATCTGCCTAATTATAACAAAAACCTAAGATTATTTACATTGTTTTCACAATTTAATTTATTGCTACAATTATTAATTATCTATCGGTATAATTTCTTCTTTAACGAAGAATTCGACAACTTCTTCTTCGACATTCTTAGTATCCGACTCAAGACTGTCAGTATCAACATAACAACGGAGATCCATACGGCGCTTCTTCTGGCCCTTCCATTCATCAATACGCTTCTCACGGTATTCATTGAATGCCTCCATAAGAGCACGTCGTTTATCAATAACTTCCTTAGAAGCTTTAGTCATACGCATCTTATCCTTGCTCTCGAATTGAGATGAGTACTTCTTGAGATTTTTCTTAATTTCCTTTATCTGGTCAGCAGTCAACAAAGTGGGCGGGCGAGGTCTCCAGAGTAGTTGATTGAACGCGTTAAGATTCACGCGCTTGAGAATACGGCCTTGGAATGTCCAAATCCAGTAAGCGTTATCAACACTTGTTTTCCAGCTTGATACAGCTGTGACAACATATCTGCCAGTGGGGTCCCACTCGATATCAGAAACTTGATAATGATCAGTAGTGTTCATAATACTGAAGTCCTTAGTATCAACAAATTCCAGAGCACCAGCCATTGAAGTCATTCCAGCTAAAACGATGAATTGTCCCGCTGGTGACCAGAACAAATGGTTGCAAGCTCTCTTTTCCAGCTTCTTGAGCAGAGCCGGCTGGTGTCCGCAACGTACTTCATAGAAACTAACGCTGACATTTGGAACTTCACCATGGATGATTGCAAACTTGGATCCAATTGGTTCCCAAGCGAATGCGTGAATTGGTTCTTTCATTTCAACACTGTCGACTGGGATTTGTTTTTCACGCATGTGGAAAATTTCAAAATTGTACGACATTCCAGTGTACTTTTGCTCAGTTTTCTCCTTCTTTTTGGAGAATCGATCAACTTTAACGCAAAGATAATCTCCAGATTTTTGCCAGAAAATTTTGCAGTCAGCGACGTTGAATAAGTTCTTGTTTCTCAACTCAGAACGGCTAGGTATCTCTAGAAGAGTTACACGTGCAGGAACATCTTTGTCCTCTGGTACCCAGTAAGCGATTACATTGTCAGTCGGTGACCAGCTGAAGTCACGGATTGCGGGTGTCTTGATACTCTTCTTTTCCAAGAGACCAAATGACGGTGTTTCGTAGACACTGAGAATGTCTTCACCCATGCAAGCCAAGTACTTGTCATCGTGAGACCAACGGAAGATTGGCCAAGTGGACATACCGTCGGTGACGAATGAACGCTTCTCTTGTCCAGTGAGGATATCCCAGATGACAAGACGTTTAGCATCAGCTCCACCGTCCATTCGCGGTGAGAAAGTTACGATGTAACGTTCGCGTGGTGAGAAATCAATGCATTCAACGCCTATCTGGCCAAAACGAGCTAGTCGATCGAATTTAGCGCCTCCCCAGAGAGCGACTCCTTGAGAGTGGAATGTTGCCATGTAAGTTCCCAATGGTGACCACTTGAAGTAAGTTTCGGTCCATTGGGCACGTTCTTGAATAAGAGTCGGCTCCGGTGCTGAGTTTAGCCATACTTGGATTAATACTGCCGATCCGTTGCCTGCAAGAACAGCAAACTGATCGTACGCGTCTGGTTCGAGTAAGTTGTAATGCAAGTCTTGAACAGCGTTGTACGGTTGGGGTGCTGGTGGCTCCCAATCTTCAGGGATTTTCTCGTATTTTTTGAAATCTGTGAAGTGGTTCACTTTAAAAGTGTGGAACTTGTCAATTTTATAGTTGTTTCGAGCTTTAATAGCTGCTGCTGCACTCATTTTGTTGGTGTACTCCAAAAATATGTACCTAGACAAATAATTAATAACTCAGTTTTAGGTTTCAAATTTTTTCATAATAAAAATAAGTTTTTATGCTTAATGTATTTGTACAATTAAAATTTTAAAACGTAATCTCTGATTATTTAAATTTTGGTATGCTAACTAAATAATGAGTATTAAATTAGCAGAAAAATTATTTTCAAATAATTTAAAATTCAATTACAAAAAAAAAAAAAAATTGAACAAAAGTTTATAAAAATTTTTAAGTACGTATTTTTATATTATTATTTTAGCAGTAAATAAATTATTTGTGAGTTGAAAAAAAATTTTTCAGATATCTGATATGATAAAAATTATTAATAAAATTGTTTTTGAATTAAAAATAATTACCCTTTAGTAATTCCTTGTTCATTTTTGGGGTAGTGTTTGTTGACAATAGTTCCAAATTTAGAGAAAAGTTTGTTGATCAAGTTGTTGAATTTTTCAAAACGCTCTGGCTCAACTTGTGGTGTTCCATCAACAATAATAACTGATTCAATGCCATCGGTCTCCTGGGGTTTTTGCGCTAGTATGTCCGGTAATAAATCTGTTTAAAAGTAAGAAACAAATTTTAGAATATAAGTTACAGAAATAAAATGGAGTAATAAAATGAAAATTAATTTAGCAGATATTTAATAATTTTTGTTACAAATAATCTATGGCAAAAAAATTGACATGCAGAAATTGAAAAAAAAATTAAAAATGCAATTTTTTGGGATAAACTTGTTAAAAAAAATTTAAAACTGGTGAAATGACTTCTAAATTTGGTGTCATGTAATAAGTTGTTTTGGAGTAATAATAAAAATTGCAAAAATTTAATAATAATAAAAACTTGAACTTTCAAGTTTGTTACAGTATCATTGAAAATAAAAATTTACAAAAAGTTAATTAAACAAATAAAATATTATGCAGATGCTGACAAACATGTCTTTTTAACATCCCATGATAAGTCAGTAAAAGGTCAGTTGTTACTTTATCTCCGGCAAGCATACAGTGACAATAAATAAAACGTGGCTAAGTATGATATAGGTTATACCACATGTACATACAATGCACTAAATATGATATTTTCAATGATAGTAATTACTTTCAAAACTATCTATTAAAAATATAAAAAAATTAATTAATTTTATTGATAAGTAATAAACCATACCTTCATCATCAATGTCATCAACAAAATCCTCAGGATCGCTGAAGTCGGGCTGGGCATCATTGAAGTCCTTGTCGTTTGGTGAATCCTCCGGATTTAATTTCATTTTTGTTTCAACTGCCATTTTTAATCCACTTGCAATTTATTTTTTATAATTCAATTTATATATTTATCATAATAAAACTGGATGATTTTTTTAAACGAGTAATTAATGAGACACGTAGAGTAAGGAAGCCGAAAGTACTCACACACAACCAAGCACGTTCAGGTTCGAGATTCGAGAGCTCGGCGTCGATTCTCCCACTCCCATTTATAATTTTCAAGCATCTGCGCATTTTACTGTCCAACAACGAAACTACTGATTCACTGATTAGTGGCGCCCCCTTTTAAGCTTTGCAATGTGTAATAATTATAAATATCAAGAACATCATACATATGTGTATAGTCTCCATAATCAAGAGTTTGACAAGAAATTTTAAAAATTATTGCATTTTATGACAACGGAATTGGCAGACACTTGGAGATTTTTTTTTTCTTGAAAAATAAACTAGATCTAGAAAATTATTTTTAAAAAATTATAATTTTTTAGAGCTTTTGATGGAACTTTTTAATAAATTATTTTTGCAATAATTTATTTGTTAAAAAATTAAAAAAATTATCAGATGTCTCTTAATTTTAGTAAGTACCATTATATTTTGTTTTAAAACACTCATGGGTCAATTTTTAAATTTGTAAAAAAAAAACATTACATTTTATGATTCTAAAATTTAACAGACATCTAAATAATTTTTTTAGATTTTTATAAAAATTAAATTAGAATGAAAAAAATTTAGCAAAAAAAATCTACATGTAGAAATTTCAAAAAATTATTGGTGAGAATTTTTTAAAACATTTTTTTTTATATCATTAAATTTTACCTTATAATCTGTTCATAAACGGGTTAAGAAATTTGATGAAAATTAAGTTAGCCGACATTTAAAAATTTTTAGTATTTTTTTTTTATTGAGAAAATTATTAAAAAAAAATTTTTAAAAAATATCACTTGTAAAAAACTTGAAAAACTGTAAGTGAAATTTTTCAAAAATATTTTTTTGTTTTGATTTAATTATTAAAAAAAAAATTGAATAATTGAAAACGTCGGCTAACTTTGGTATCATAGAAATTTGTTGAAGAAATAATGATATTTTTTTTTTTAAATCACTCATGATTAAAGTAAGAAATTCGTAGGCAAAATGATACAAAATTATTTTTTTATTATTATTTAAAACGGAAATGTTATTTTACAATTTAATATATTATTTATAAAAATTCGTTAATTGTCAATCTAAAAAAAAATCGTTAAAAACATAATTTTTCATGTATAAAAATAGAAAGTGATTACGAGCACTTCTTATAACTTTAAAATTATTAGACAATTTTTAAAAAATATCACCATTAGTTATTTTTTAAAAAATCATAAATTTTAATTTTCCTTTTAAATTCTCTTCATCTTATTTCAGTATTCTTCTTATAATAATACCATGTTACACTTTTAAAATCAATTAGTAAATGACCTACTCCAGGAATTTCCAGTTTCCAATTTTAATCCATACCACTGGATAACTTCCGATTATAAAGCGTCTACGATAACTAGCGCCTCTAATAGCTAGAAAAATTTTCACAAACATTTAAAAAGTATTATGAAGTACTAAAATTTTGTCTAAGTATTTTTTATTTCTCTCAAAAAAATTTTAATCGCTCATATTTTTTCACTCTAAAGTAATTTAAATATGAGTTTAAAGCACCTAGTAAATTTTCATTGAAAAGAAGAAATCAGTTTTCCTTGCTTCAGACAATAAAAATTTTACAAAATTAGAGAGAATAATTTTTTCCGCTTTATAAATTTATCCAAAAATTATAATAAAAATTAGGTGTTATTTGTAAATAAAAAATAAAATGTTTCTCGAATAGAAAATTTATAGGTTTCTTGAAAATATTTGATTCTTAATCATAATAAAAAAAATATATAGATTGTTATAAGTATAATTATACACACATTTATAAGTGGCTTTGACACAAGACCCAAGACTATCTCTTGCTTTCTCGGTATCTTTTTCCTCTGTCAGACACTCAGAGAGGGTTTTAAAATCACCCGGCCGACATCGCACCGTAGAGGTTTTACCCTTCGGAAAGACGAGCACATAATCCCTTTGACACATTTCATGCAACAATGACTTACGTCAAGATATTTCTCGTTGTTTAAAAGCTGCTTTATCGTTAAAGCCATCAGATTATTATGTAATACCAAAATACACCTCTATAAAATCGGGTTATATATTCATTCGCGTTTCCATTTAATCATATTCATTCTTATCATGTCTTACGTAAGATCCTTACACATAAATATGGAATATTGCATAGACGAAAAGCATCAGAATTATTGAAAATAAAAATAAAATTTCTTGTTTAAATAAAATCTAAGGATTAATATTTCTTCTCGCTTTAAAATTTTCTTCTTAATCCTGTTTAAGAAGAATTAAATTAGAGTTGAACGTCGAATAGCAACGATAAACTTGTCAGAGCGTTGCTTATTGATTTTTCGAGTGCAAGCGAAAGGTGAGAGGAAAATAATCCGTGAGGGCACAGTAGTACAAAGTAGTAGTACATATCGATATTGAAGGAGCCGAAAACCGATTACAGAAACTTTATGATGTCCTCTACTGCAATAGATCACAGTGCGTTTCGTTAAATTGGATTATTGCTGACGAACGTGAATCAACCCCACAAAAATACATAATATGAATAAATTTATGTTGTAGTATAGCTTCCACATTCGCATTCGGATTCTAAACTTTAAATAGAGATCATTATTTACCCTTTGTGTATATCTGCGAATAGACTGCGGACCTTTTTTCATCATTTTATGTATTAAACCCGAACGGTCTCTTGCCGGAGTAATCTTCAAGAGTACGTGACGCGAAAATATTATTCTTCTGCTGTCTACAAGCATCTATAATGTGTATAAAATATTTTCCCCTGGGAATTCAAATATTTATTTTCATAAACTTGTCAACTTCTTGGGTTATTTTGAAGTAAATTTAAATTTCGATTCAATTTTTATTATTCTGTTGCTGACAAATTCGAAATTTGGAATTTTTTTAACTTTTGTTAAGCAAATTTTTGTTTATATTTAATCGGCAACTCGCATCCTTAAAAATCCAGGTTTTTAGATTTTTACTTTCATGGTTATTGAGTTTTTTTTTTTTTATCAAAAATCGAAAAGTTATCATTTTTTTTATTTATAAAAACAAATTTTTCAATCAATTTTAAAATTTTCCGTGTTAAAAAAATTTTTTTTTCTGTTAAAAATCGTTGATGCAAATTGTCTAAATCAATTTAGTGATTTTTAGTATTATTTTCCCGATTCTCCGAGTAAAAAGAAAATTTTTTTATTTTTCCGAATTTTTTTTTTTCTATCAAAAAATGGACCTTTAAAAAATTTTTTTTTTATTGATATTTCCATGTTTGATGAAAAAGGTGTAAAAAAATTCTAAATATTATTAATATTTAAATTCTCGTTAAATCAGCGAAACGTTGTAATTCCTTTCATTTATTGTCCAAATTCTCAAGATTTAGTCATTTAAATATCTAAATATTATTTTTACGGATTGAAGAATTGTAAACCATAAAATTAAACAAATCCTGAAACTTTATCTCTCCCAAACAGCTCAAAAATATTTTTGATAATTTTTCATTTAATTTAAATTGATAACTATTCATTTTTGACTTCTTGTTGAATAAAGTCTTCCAAAAAGTCAAAAATTTTTTTTATAACGTCTGAGTTCGGCTGCCCAATTTCAAAACGCAGTAACTGATGACAATTTTAAGACTTTTAAAAATTTTTCTTATTAAAAAAAAGTTTGCGCGCCAAATTGATAAAAAATTTGATTTATGAATAGAAAATACTTGAATATAAATATTTTTAAGAAAAAATGCTTGAAATTAAGGTCTAAAAGTTATAAGAAATGCAGCAATACTAAAAAAAAAAAATCAGGTATAAAAATTTTGCAGTTACTATGTTTTAAAATTAGGCAGCCGAGTTGTCACTGCCAATTTTAAACTCGATAATTTCTTCAATCTAAACTAATTATCGAAATTGCCAATTTTTATTAGGGTTGTTACACCAACAACCACTAATTTTCCAAGCTCAGTAAACAAAAAAACAGCAATTAATTAAAACGAAAAAAAAAAGTATACAAATGTAACTAAATGCATTCTCTTTCACTTTAAAAAGAGCAAAATTCGATTCTATTGAACGCGTTGGTATGATAATGTAATAAAATAAATGGAGGCACTGGTTGACAGTGATAATACAACCCTCGCTTTTCATCTGCGCACATTTACCTCTTCGTATTCTACATCTACTTCGATCAGTGATGTGTGCTAGTATTTGCGTATTTGTATAGATCCATATAAATGAACCCCTACTGGTAGGTACTATAACTATCCTTATTTATCACGATTTAACGATTCGCATTTGCTCGTTATTCTGTACGCGGATATACCCAGGTATTATCCATGGAGGGCTGGGTGTGTGTTGGTTTGACTGGGAGCTATGGGTTAAAACGGGAGTCGGGAAACCAGTAGCTAGGAAGGGATTTATGGAGTAAGAGAGCGAGAGAGCTTACTTCGAAAAGCGAAATACAACAAACCCCGACTCGACGCCATTGCTGAATCGTTGCTCCTACAGCTTCTGCCTCTTCCTCTTCCTCTTCCTCTTTCTCCTGCTACTGTATTATAGGGTGGCTGTGATGACCCTTTCCGCGAAATCCCTTCATCGGGAATTTTGTTCTGTGACCAGAGTGAGAGCGAAAAAAGCCCCAGATAAAGTTAACAATAAAAAAGGTAAAAATAAAAGTTGACACAGAAGCATCACTGGGAGATACGATTTTCAATTTTTATTTTATTTTTTATCTTTTATACTTCTATCGCGGTACTTTTTACTCTTATATCCGGAATATGTACTTTCAGGGGGTTTAGAAGCTTCGTGGGAGGTCGAAAACTCCGCCTCCGTACCGCAAAATCGAGTCAATACTACCCGACCATCCCACTTGCTTTTATGCTCACTTCCATCGACCACCACTTACACATTTTCCTTCCATGCTCGCATTATCCATTTATACATCCAAATTCTGTCTTCATTACACCACTTATTGCTTATTATAACAAGAGAAAAGTAATAATAATAAAATAATAAAATGTTATTTTTTTTACCGAAGTTTTCAAATTTGTCAAACGATTTTTGATCCTTGATTTGAAGTTTTCAAGTACAATTACGTGTTGATAATGTTTAAAATTTAACACTTTATTGGCTGAAATTAGACTACAGTTTACGGAGGAATTAGTAATTTTGTCAAGTGCGCTCGACGATAAGTTGAGAGTTAAGACACTTTTGTACATTAACTTAGAAGTTGCGACGGTACACAGAAAAAAAAATTAATTTGAATCAAGAGAAAAATTTTTGAATCAAGTAAAATTTACTTAAACCAAGAAAAATTTTTTTAGCTTTTTTTTAGATGAAGTTCTTCAAAATTATTTACTTGATTCAAATAAATTTTTTTTCTGTGTATTGATAAATGTAATTTATTACAAAATTATTAAAACATTGGAAAAAGTATCATGAACAAATACAAAAATTAATTTTTTTTTTTTACTGTAATTTTTTAGCATAAAAACAAAAAAAATCAGACTATAGTTAAAAAATATTTTGTCAAATATAACTATTAAAAATTAATTTTATAAAAAATGACCGAAAAAAACGCTTGAAAAAGTTTGACAAATTAAGCCGGCCGTCTAAAGTCTCATCGATAAACTGGGTATGATGTATTAGACATTAAATACGCGTGCATCATATCACCGGGGATTGGTAGGACAAGATGCCATATGTGACAACCCCGTAGGGCAAAGTCAAGGATTATGTTTGATAAATACAAATATTTATTCTAAGTAAATTACCATAAGTCAAACAAACATAAAACTATTTTAGTGTAAATATGTGGTATTTAAATAAACAAATAAATTTGGAATGTACTTGTTATATTTTATTACAATTACGTAATTATAACATTGTCGCATAGTAACGATCCAATTTTATTGAATGTATATATATGTATATTATATACAACGACAATTATATCACAACATAAATTTCAAAAGACTTGGATTAATTTTCCTTTAAATACTATGATTCTTATATAATAGTATTTAATTATATCATATTCATTTATAAATGAGAATATTACGATTCAAGATGAATCAATTTTACTCTACTCTCTAATAGCACAATAAATAAATATGTTCTATATTAATATTACACTAGATATAGTATTGCATTTATGTACAGCATCGTGATCTAGTAATTTTATATCATTGTAATTGAATGTATTTATATTTATATTATATCACTAATTATACTTTATTTATAATTATAATTATAATAATAATAATTAAAAAAAAGCCTCGTTAACTTAAATTATCTATCGTTAATCATAATAATTTTTTTTTATTATACATTTATACGAGTATGAGGCCAGATTTTCATAGAAAATGAATTAGGCTATTCAATGATTATGAGATTAGATACTTTACATAAAAAACATTAGCTTCAATTAATCAATCAGTTTTGTGGCAACCATAATCATTAATTTTTATACATGTCACACAAAACTTTTTCCATTCGTGTGTTTCCAATAGTTCGGTGGAAGTAAATAAGCTCAACTCGCGATGCTGGTATGCTTCTCAGCAGTGATAGCATCAACAAAAGTCTTCCGAATCTTTCAGGTCTACCGGGTTGTTGAGCACGCGCATGTTGTCCTAACATTACTTGTGCTTGGTCTTGAAGATTTTCTATTTGACTTGAATCTTTCAGTCCTCGGGTTTCTATTTTTTATCAAAATATTCAGTTATTAACATTTATTATTTTTTAAAACTAATCATTAAAAATAACAAAAATTTGTAAATAATATTTCGGTAATTATTTACAAGTGGGGTCTACCATTTTAATTTTTATTTTTTTGAACGAAATTTTTTTTTGAAAATTTTGATAATTTTTTTTTTTTGAAAAATGCATAAAAAAAATGAACAATTAAAAAAAAAAAAGTTGATTATCACAATTTCAACAAATTTTAAAAAAAATTTATAAATTTTTTAGAAAATTGTGATATTCAACTTTTTTTCTTTTAAATTGTTCGTTTTTTTTATGTATTTAAAAAAAAAAATATACATCAAAAAAAGATAAAATAAAAATTTTATTCAAAAACATGAGAGCCAAAATTTTTTTCAAATTTTGAAAGCAAAAAAGCTATCAAAATTATTATTTACTTTATTTTTTTTTTTTTCACGATATTTTTTATCATAAATGAGCCGTAAAAGCAAGCAGAATAAAAAAAATAAAAAATGTTAATTTGTCACCTAGATATAGCCAAAAATAAGATGGATCCCACTTATAAATAATTACCAAAATTTCTTAATTTATCAACAATTAAAAATTAAAAATGAATATTAATAATTAAATAGTTACCTGGTCTAAAGAGAACAATAGCTTTCATACAAGCAAACTCGGCAGGATCAACCATTATATTTTTGTATCTCTGCAAAGTATCGTGAAGATGTCGAATATCAGCGGCTACTTGACTAGGCTTGTCTTCGTTGGACAAGTGCATTCCTGAGTGCGAATGATTGTGTGGCGATAGAGTAAGTGCGGTCAATTCCGCGGCATTGAAGAGTGAAGATGATTCGAGAGGTAGACACCATTGCACGGCATTGAGAAGAAACAACTCAGACCAGGCTTCTTCGAGGAGTATCACTTGGTCGCGGAACGGCAAACTGGCGAACGAAGGCAGATTTTTGGCCCATTTTACAGCCATAAATAATAATCTTGCACTAGTTTCGTAAACTGTTTCTGCGCTTGCTGGCGAGTAGAGCGATGTCATTACGGGAGGCAATTGGGAACAAAGATTCCTCTGGGCAGTGAGTGGTTCTTCGTTGGTCACATCTATACTGTCTTCTGATGCGTTTTCTATTTTTTTATTGATTAAATTTTATTTTACTGGTATTTTTGTTCACATCAAAATTGTGTAATATAAAAAATTGATTCAAGGTAATTAGACATAAGACGGAATATCATGTAATTTTTTTTATGGCGTCTTGAATTTTTATTCAGTCTTCATTAGGTTCATAAAAAACCACGACAGTATATCAAGAATATTATGTTTAAATCCGAAACATTACACAGATAAAAAAATTAACTTGGTTCAAGAAAAAAAAATTTTAAACTAAAAATATATTTTTGAAGAAATTAATTATCTTGAATCAAGAAAAAAAAATTCGAACTAAGAAAAATTTATTTGAATTAAGAATAATTTTTTGGGTCAAGAAGTTTTTCTTAATTTAATTAATTAATCAATATACTATCTCAACATCGGGTAAAAAAACAAGTTAATAAAATTAATAAATAAGCAGATTCACAATTACAACACGCAAAAAAAAATGTAAAAATTACATTATAAATAGTAATAAGCCTCGCTTCGTATAAAAAAACTAGAAAAATTGCAGTTTGAAATAACATTTTTGTAAATTGAAAATTACAATCTGAAACTGTAATTTTTCCAGTTTTTTTTCTGAAGCGTCACGTTACATTATATAATATAAATTTTCCCTTTTCTTTTTTCCGTGAATTCCTATACATAATGGCATTTATATTTAGCTATAGTTATTTGATATTATTTATTTTTAAGACTATAATTATCAGGAGATTGATATTTCATTGATTTTCTTTTAATTGAAACATCAAATTTATTTGAAATATTTTCTTTGTATATTTTTGAATATTCAAATTATTTCTCTAGTATGATTTGCCATGAAGGAATTTTTTATCTTCAATTATCTCTATGTGTAGTACTTTATTTTTGGTTAAATTTCTATAATTATGTTTACCTGAGCTTACAATTATTTATTTTATGTGAATTTTCTCTATAGTTTCGTTCATTTTTTTTTATTTTCTAAACATATTATTGATTGAAATTTTTAGTGAAAGATGTCCAAATTGACAATTTTTTATTTTAATTGAATCATTGCCAACCGTTACAAATCAATGACGACGACTGTATGACATGGTATTAAAAAAAAAAATTTGACATACATCATTTTCTTCCTCTTAACTTACAATCATAGTTTTTATGAACCTGATGCTAAAGGCTAACTAAATGATCAAAGCGTCGTCAATTAAAGATCAATATAATAGTCCATTTTATTAATTACTTTATATCAATTTTTTATGTAACTGATTATACTTGAAAGAAATTGTTATTGATATTGTTTAATTACCATCGGGGTCGTCGCGTTGCGGTAGGGGTGTTGGTACAGGTGGTGGATTCGCAGTCGACGTTGGGGCTATTGCTGATAATGGCATCGGTGCTCCATATCTGGCCATCGCTAATGATACTGGTGGTCTGTAAAATAGAAGAATAAATATTTAGGTTAAATTAATGTCAATATCAATTCTTTAAAAATTATTATTTCTTCTTTGATTTTTTCCCATATGATCTTTATCGCTAATAGGTTATACCACTTGAATAAAATAATTCAAAAAAAGTCGATAGTATTTTGTTTTAATGACTTAATTGCCGCATAAAATCGCGTGACGTATTACACATGTCATTATTTGATTAACAATAATTTTTTTTTATAATTATTTTACATATGTATTGTGTTTTTTCTTGGCTGTACAAGTGGTTCCACCAAACAATAATATTTAACAACCGCAAATGACGTCTCCCAGCCACTCACCCAGAAGAATAATAAACAAGGTTATAAATATAACTTCAAAAAAATCAAAATATCATCGGCATTAGCAGGTTGCGTTATCAGAAGATGACGGCACCACCAAAAGGACAAAATTTTTCGGCCTGTTATCTCGAGTTATGTAAGCAGCACCGAGTGCGCCCCTTGCCAGTTATTTGTCTTTCGTTGCCTCATAGATTAGACTTCACGACCGACCGCGTTAAAATGGACGACTGGATTCCGATCTTAAATTCTCTCTCTCTTGACCGTTCCCTCAAGTCCGTCAGCGTCCGGAACAAGTACCACCTGCGTAAGCCACTAGAAGAACTAAATTCCGAAGGTAAAGTTCGCGCGGCAAATTCAACCGGGATAAGAAAAACTCCAGCAGTTCTCACACGATATTTGCTCGAGTGTCTCAGCCACAGTGTAGCACAGTGCATAAGAAATTCCACGGCCTTAACCTGCCTGGAGCTCGAAGGAGTTCCTCTGCCGACTGATTGTCTTGCCGCATTGTGTGTGGGGCTTGCAAGCACGGTAACTCTTGAATATTTATCTCTAGAACGCTGCTACATCGGCGACAACAGTTGCGCAATGATTTGCCGAACAATCGCTGATGTCCAGAGCATCCGATCGCTCAATTTGAGCCACTGCGATCTGAGTTCCGGCGCCGGTCCAGCACTGGCTTCTGCTTTGAGTCGTCAAAAATTGGTTCTGTACCACGAAACTTGGAAGAACTCGCTGAGATATCGGCAACCCAACCTGGACGTGATGCCGGGATTAAGACGCCTGACGCTGAATGGAAACCCGTCTCTAGGCGACTTGGCAGTTGCCCAAGTTATCGACGCGATCACAGACAGTTTGTGGCTGAAAGCCCTGGATTTACAGAGCTGCGGATTGACTGACGCTATTGGTAATAAAATGCTTGATTTGCTTGATCATAATAAAACATTGCAAGTTATTGATGTTAGATCTAATTGTCTTTTGAGCCAAGACATTGTAAGGGACATTGAAAACCGGCTGGATCGCAACAACAAGGGCTGCAATCTCGAGTACAGGTTCTTGGCTATCAAGGAGAGCCACCACAAAAAAGTACCTGGGGATAAAAAGGAAAAGAATGATGAGAATAATGTTAAAGTAAGGCCAAAGACTCTGATTAGAAACAAACGCGCTGTTAAAGCGAGGTTCAATCGGGTGATTAGCAAGCCTGTTACAAGGTCGCTGCCGATTATCAAGAAAAATTCTGCGCAGGAGAAGAATATGGAGATCAAGCAGGAGAAAGTAAAGCAAAGGTTACACCTAGACCTGGACTCACACATTAGGTCGACCACGTGCCAGGTTGATGAGGTTGATGACGAGTACCAAAGTGTCTTGATGCAGCTTTCAGAGGCGAAGGCTAAAATTAACAAACTGGAGATGCAGCTGGAAAAGGAACGGACGCGCAGGCACGTTATTCAGCGCTTGTGGTCTCTGAGCAAGGTTGTTCAGAAGGAAAAGTCTGAGGAACAATCCAGGGAGGCTGAAGTTGAGCCCCAAGTAGATCTGCTGATCAAGAAGATAAAATCCGAGAAGATTTATCGGGAACAGAAGTCACCGAGCAAGATGACCAAGTCGGAAAATGACATCAATATTTATATGCCGATCCAGGAGCCGATTCCGGTGGAGAAGAATATTGGGGATTATCTTAAAAATTCGCTGATGATAAGCTTGCCTTGTTCGTCTTCTTCTTCTTCTTCTTCTTCTTCTTCTTCTTCTTCATCTTCTTCTTCTTCTTCTGGTTCATCGGCGTCTTCGACGGCTTCTTCTTCGTATGAGAAAAATTATCGGAAGAAAGGGTTGAAAACTCCGTCGTCGGCCTGCGAGCGCGCAAGAGCGATTTTCGCAGAGATTATAAAGAGCGACGTGGCTTTAAACTTGGACACCAACACGAGCTAACACTTTGGCGGCTTATCCACCAATCAATCAATGTGTATTTTTATCAAGAGTAAAACATCGTGCAAAAGAGTATAATAATAGCCAATGATGTGAGTAAGAACGGTCAAAGACAAAGAGTTTTAAATTATAACCCAGTGAGGAAGTTTAAGACTCGGTGCTGGATTTTAGTACTGCTATAAATATATCATGCTTGTAGATTTTATATGTAAGAGAAAAAAATTAATTTGTAAAATGTTAAATGATTTATTATTTTGATACTCAACTCTGTATTACGTGATTCAATATATACCGCTGATGCTTTATATGTCATCATACATCCACAACAATGTCATTATTATGTTATATTTATGTTTATAAATGTAGATGTAGATGTGTTGTATATAATTGTCGGCTGGACATTGATTTTGAGTTACTAACGGTTCAAAAGGCATTACCTGAAGTATTTGAACGGTCAAGTAGTCAAAGGTAATTTTTCATGATAGATCACGCTCGACGTGGCAAGCAACTCGTGTTGTTCGCGATGTTGAAGATAACGCTGCCAAGATCAAACGTGCTAACGGCATCCTCTCTGCTGTGTCTATATTATATTACTTGTTATTTATGCTTTTCCTGTTACTCTACACTCTAGTCTGTTTCATCACCGGGTTGCCATTACTATTTTTATGTTAAAAGATTTTTTCAACCGCTTTTTGCTACTTACGTCCGATCAAATAAAAATAAAATATTGTGGTACTTATTTATGTTGTGATGTATGTAAGTTAATTTTATGCAAATAAGTAGTAGTAGTTTGTAGTTTATAATTTAATAATTTAATATGTTTGTCTATTGTGTTTAATTGAAATATTAATATTGTTTGTAATTGATGCTTACCCAAAAACTCCAACAGCTACGGCAGCTTCCCTCAGCGCTCGTTCCTGATCCATCTCGACTAAAGCTTCAGGTCTTATGGTTGCCGTGTTCCTGGGCTGCCTTTCATTTTGCACGGCTGCAACAATCCAACGAGTTTCCTCTTGATTATTCATCATCAGGCAATCCTTCCATGCAGCGCGAGTTAGTTGTATCGCTGCAGGACGACATGTCCAAATAATAATTCATGAGGGAGAATAATGGATTCACGCGATGATTTTAAGGTACAAGGTTTTTAACTGGGGTATGTTTGAAACTTTTTCGGGGTTTGGTAAGAAATCCTTACCCGGGTAAAGTAACCGGCGGGTTAATCAATTAATCAATTCCACGGTTTCAACAAAAGACGAATATATTAGATGGTAGACATTTTGATCCAAAAGTTTGAATTCATAAATGAAACGCTTATGAATAAATGTCAGAAACAAAATGTAAAAAATATAATCTTGCTCTAGGAAGTAATAATTTACTTCTGATGAGAACGAAATATTTAAAAACTCTGAAAAATCCTAAAAATTTCAAGAAACATCAGATGTTTTTGTCATGTTGAAAGATACTATGAAAATTAACTTAATTCAAAAGACAAATTCTTAAATGAAGAATGTTATTTTGAAGAGTTTAATCATATTGAATTGAGTCAAAAAATTTACTTAAACAAAGAATAATTTCTCAGTTCTAGAATTTTTCTTTTGAATCAAGTTATTTTTTAAATCAGTGTAAAAATGATTTTCATAATAAAATGTTTACTAGAAGTCAATGTCAATCTAATAAATATGAAGAGTCTATATCAGTGTGAAAACAATAATTATCGTGAGCGAAAAAAATTCTATTGCTTTAAATATTTCACTTGGGTTAAGATTCTTTTGATCTCTATAATTTATTTTCGTAGCTTAAGTAACCTTTTTTAGTATAATTATTTAAAAGCTATTAAATCGTTATCACAAATTATATGGCTCGTAGTTTTACTTCATTATCACGAAATTCAAAGTATTTTGATGATAAATTTTACGAGAATATCCAAAAGGTTATTGCAACCAGGATTGCTTCAAGAATAATCCTAAAATTATTTCTTCAAGTATTTGATTTCTAATTTTTTTTCAATCTTATGTATTGAATTCATAACTTTTCAGTAAATCAAATTTTGGCTTGAAAGTGGCATGTCCATGATCGAAGGATTTAATTTATGAAATTTATTACCCATCATCCTGCAACCTCTAACTGACTGTGTTTTCTCAGAGTCTGTCTGAGCCATTGTCTTTCGCCGTCGGACCCTTGCCATGTCAATTTTACGTAACGCAATTATATCAGACAGTATCTGGATTTGACAGCATCAATATGACGACCGTGCCATACCAGCTTCATAACTGTTAGAGTTATCTAACTTTCATATTAACTTGTTAAATTCAAAACCATGAATTATTAAAATTTCCATAAAAAAATAACTAAATAAAACGTTATCTGATGTCATTAAAACACACAAAGTAAAGGAAAGTAAAAAAAAAAGGGTAGAGACCAGATTTAAAAATGCTCGCGGTTTAACGTTAAGTAATTCTGCATAATAACGAAAACGTGGCAATTTTTCCTGTGGGTAGTTGTCGTGGCCTGCTGAGCGGCTTAATGGGGTCCTCCTACTATTCCACGGCCCTTTGGAACTTTATTCTCTCAGTTATTTAACTTTTTTTTTTTTTCCATTATTTTTATTATTTTTATCTCTCTTTAGCTCTTAGTTTACTTTTTAAAGTAACCCTCACACCCGATTCCAGTGAATCCGTGCATGTGTGTAGTATCTCACTCATGTTAGCCGTCCTGGAGGTGGACGGTGCGACCAAAGAGATAAACGTCCCGTCAGTAGGCTCTCATTTGCATGAACCCGGCGGGTGGTAGCACCGAAATGCACGCGGGTTTCTCTTGTCACACTTGCTACCACACATGAGCATGTATAGAGATACAGAGATGTAGAAAAGATGTGGTGTCCTGCGTCAGCAACCACCAATACAACAACGAACCCTGTTGGCTGTCGTACTCTGCTTTGCTCGTCGTTTGGTTGTCCTGCATACGTTTATTTCCTCCAATTAACCCTTCAGGCATCGGGCCACGTGACCGTTACGTTACTAACGACCGTACCAGTGTTTATGGAGCGAATAGCGCGTCATGGTGAACCAACTAACGCTGTTACTAAGTCACACTACGTACTACATCATATGCATTATAACCATAGTCATAATAATAATAATAATAATAATAATACAAGTACTTTACTCTCTGTATACTGTGTCATTATTTTGTCTATGTATTTTAGATGAGATACGAGAGATCCCAGTGCAGTTATGTACATTGATCAGCGCTATGATGTGCATGTTGTATTAAATGCACACTGTACACTGTTATGTTCAGCACATGAGTCATATTACACGGTAAATGATTACTGTAAGCACTCAACTGGATATACTCCTGGTATGTGTAATTTTCATCATGTTATGGTTCAATTAAATTATCTACGAGTATCAGAGGAAATTATTTTTTCGATAAGCCTTTTTTCATTATTATTATTTTGTTAGATTGGAAATTATAAGTAATTACTTTGTGGGAGCTGATTATACTTTTTACGAATTTTTTTTTTATTTATTTTATTTTTGGGTATTTAGAAGAAAGGAATAATAAACTGACTGATTATTTTGCTGTTAAAAGCATACCAATTTTGTCTTTGTGGTTATTAAAAAATAGAAAATTGAGTTTTTGACAATTATTTCTTCATCTTCATGGCGGAATTACGAATCATTTATTAAAAGTTTACAATTTTTTATATTTAAATTTTAGTTCGCAGTTTGGAGTTTACGCATTGAAAAATAAAATTTAAAAAAAAACTTAAATGAGTTAATTTAAAAATTTTTTATGGGAAAACCAGAGAAGCTTCTTCTTTAAACAATTACCGTCATTGAAAACAAGTAGTAAAGTCTTCAAGCTTCAGACAAATCGTATACAATTTATATTTCTATTTTTACCTAAATTGTCATAAATAAAAATAAAAAAATAAAAATTTATGAATATTTTATTTATATAATAAACTAACAGTCCACCCGGCTTTGCATGGGTAATTAAAAAAATTTCAAAATCAATCATAATATAATATAGCCTATGTCACCCGGGGATAGTGTCATAGCTTCCCAACAGTGAAAGAATTTTTCAAATCGGTTTAGTAGTTTCGGAGCCTATTCAATGCAAACAAACAAACAAACAATCAAATCTTTCCTCTTTATAATATTAGTATAGATAAATAAACATAGTTAAGAAAAAATTACTTCATGATAATTTCAATTTTTAAAAATAATTTCTTGAATCAAAAATATTTATATAGCTAAAAAATGTATTTTCCAGAAAAAAAAATTTCTTCTCAAAATCATTTCTGCTTATAAAATTATAAAACTGATTGCAATATTCAATTTTTTTTGCCATAAAAATTTAATATTACAAATATTATTTTGATTACAACTCCACTAAAATCTTAAGACGGTCAAAAATAATTTTGTAAAAGTTATGTTATGAAGTAAAATAAAAAATTTTTTTAGATTATTGAATTAAAAATAAACTAACAATAATTCTATATTATTTATTATTTTTTATTACTATCGTTATAATATATGCGAATGATATACGTGGGTCGTCTAAATGGGGGTTTAATGGAAGAAATTTGATTCAAAAGTGATAGATTGGTACTCAGAGATTGTCGCCGAGAATAAAGGCAATAAAAAAGTTTCCAGATATTTAGGGGCTGGATAAGAAAGGAAATGGGAAATTTAGCGATTGTATGTTATTGGTTTTGGTAGATGAATAAAGGGATATCAGGTGTTACGGAGAACAAAAAGTATTAAGAGTTGGATCGAAAACTTACGCCAAACTTCTACATTCTGTTCTGCCTTTGAGTTAATTTGCGTCGTACAGACTTTTAAATTATTTTTTTATCATTCAAGAATAAAATTTAAAAAAATATTAATGTATATATTTGTTCTTGTTAAATTAAAAAATTTGTTATTATTAATTGAAATGACTTACCATCTTTGTTCATCCCCATGGCCATGCACTTTTTGAGACGGCAAGCTTGACATTGGTTGCGGTGAGCCTTGTCGACGATGCATCGGCCGGTTCCTGCTTGGCACCTGGAATTAAACGGGACAATTTCAAATTATTATTAAAAAATAATTGTTTATATTGATTTAAAGCAGAATAAATGGGGATAGAATAAAATTTTCTGGTGGTCATTTGGTTCTCTCGAGACAGAGTCTGAAGAGCACTTACTCCTAAATCGGGTGTACGAGGAAAATGGCGTTAAATTTGATTTACTTTCATTGTTAGGACTAATTCCGTTATCCCCGATCGCGAGTAGATGGCATCGTCAAAGTTGCTACGCCGAGGGGTTCTGCACGTAGTCTTCTTATCCCTTAGTAATCCCAGTGAATTCTGAGGCTCGAAAAGAGCCTCACGACTCTCGAGTAATGACAATAAACCTTTTTTACTTTTTTTAAGTCTCTTGTATAAATAAAATACCTTCACGCTAAAGTGAGGATATCAATAAAAATATATGTGCATGTAAAAAAAAGCATTAATCGACTAAAATTTATAACAGAACTCCGAAAATGAAGAAAGAGTTGAAAAATTAAATGGAAAAAGCGGTCAATTTAAAAATTTTAAATTATCGACTCAGTAACCAAGCAGCAAAAATCTGTTTATTTTTTGGTTAATTTGATTTAACAATCAGTCAAACGATTAATTATAAATGATTATTGACTTTAATTTATCAAAAAGTTAACAAATCTTTTTTGCGTCACTTGAGGAAATGTTACTTCTGAATGATATGTCAATAACATTTTGACATTACAAATTAATGTAAATGACTTTTAGGTTTATTTTTCTGCACTTAAAATCAGTCAACCAATTAAAATAAATTCATTTAACTGTGATAAATTTATAAAAAGAGATTTATTTTATTTTAAGAGCTAACTTAAAATAAATAACTTTTTTATGAAGTACAAGTAAAAAATGGTCACTTTTACTGTAAACAACAAAATTGAATATTTCAAAAATTATAGAGTAATAAGGCCTATGGATTTAGCATACTTACTCAAGTAATAATAATTTACTGTTTTATATTTGCAATTTAATTATCTTAAAGTAATAATTATTTTCTTCAATCAACATAATTTTATTTTCTGTTCAAGAATAAATAATTTTTTATCTTGAATCAAATAAAATTACCTTAATCTCAGAAAACAAACCTTAGTTTAATTATTTTTCTGCCTGATGCAAGAAGAATAAATTACTCAAAATTATCTTCTTTATTCAAGATTTTTCCTCACCGATTAAATTAATTTTTCTTATCAGTTTGGTAGAATAAGGCTTAATTGTTACAATTTTTCAAACCATTGCCATTTTTTGTTGATATTTTAAAGAAAATGAACATAAATCTTGACTAATAATTAACATTTGAACTTATTGATTAAATTTGATATTTTTCATTTAATCACAACTATCCCTTAGCTCGGTCTTATTATCCACCTGTATTTTTTTACACACAGAAAAAAGTAAACTGTAATATTCACTCGGATTTCGGTTAATTTTTATAGTTTCAAACAGTAAAGTGGTTATCGGGGTGGCAAAAATATAAATATTACAGAACTTAATGTAGAAAGTATAAAAGCCACAATTTATAATTTAATATCCAAAATAAGTGATTAGTAGCTGTCACTATAGTAAATAACGACTCTTTCATCTTAAAAAATTACAGTTTCAAACAGTAAAAATTGCCATTTCAGTATATATAGTCCATATTATGAGGAGAAGGAGAACTCAGATGAAAGAGAAGGGGGTCTCACTCTAGGAGAATTTAACATTTGAAACAGTAAAAATTATACTTTTAAAATATACATTTTACCAGTCTAAGCAAGTCAATAATTACGGTTTAATTTTTAGCGTTTAAAATTTACCATTTTACTTTGTAAATATTGACGTTGCTTGTATTAGAAATTTACTAACTTTATTTTATACTTTTTACATATCATAAGATCATTTTTTAGGTACGAAATGATAAATATCAAAGTCTGAATTCTTAATTATTATACTTAAACATTTTAGACATTTACATAGCGAATATTACTGTTTGAAATAATATTTCTTTCCATGTAAAGAGTAAATTGTAACGTTTAAATGGTAAATATTATAAAGTGAATAGTAAAATCACAATTTTACTGTTTGAAATGGTAATTTTTAGCAGTTGATCATTACTTATTATAAATCGACTGTTATTTATTACAGTTTACTTTTTTCCGTGCAGAAATTTTTTCTTAATTCATGAATACATTGTCTTAATTTCAAATCACACCACCAAATTTAACATTTAAAAATAAAAAAATGAATAAATAAATTTTTAATGAATAAATTTATACCCATTAAAAATTAAATAAATAATTAAATAAATATAAGCTTCTATATTTTTTTTCCTCTATACATCCAGATAACTTGACTGTAAATTAAAAGCACATCTATTAACAGTAGATAATAGAATAGTTATAAAAAGCAATGAATAAGAAGACCTATTAGCGAGATTTGAATACCCGTCAGTCACGTAAAAAAACAGAATATGTGTAAACGACAGGAGGCTTGTTGCATATCAGTCAGTCAGTAGTCACGCAGTGAGTTAGTATCTTGTCCTGAGGGCTAAGAGCGACCGCTGCAGTGAATACACACACGCGTAACAGGAACGTGTGGCAGCGGCAGGGGTCACACACAAATTGATTTGCGTTCACACCCCACTGGAGAAGACTGCTCGTCCTCGTGCCCTTTTTGGATTCACCCTTCAGAACCACATCATACATTTATTTACGTATCTTTCACTTTCCAATTCAATATACCTCTGCGCTCGGTTTATCCATGGTTTATTATACAAATTTACATTGTTTGTTGTTTTATCGCGTCGCACCTCGTAATCGAACGCACAAAGCCTCGATAAAATTACTACCGTTATTATTGTTTTGTATTATCATTATCAATTTATTACTGCTTTTATTAATTTATTAATAGAATTGCAATGGATCATGTCCGATGGATATTTAATTGCATCTGGCTCTGGTGATGGACGCCAGGATCTTCAGACTTTTATTTACGCGGTAATCCCGCAATTGTGGGCGCACTGTGAGACGCATCTGTCACAAAGTATAAGGCGTTAGTGGTATAATTCCGTATATATAGGTATATAGATGGATGAGAGGATAATGCGAGTATAGAGAGAAAAAGAGATAGAAAGTCGAATGAGTTCTATACTTGAACTAAAACCCTCGCGGAATAATTGGTTATCTGTGCGAAGGCTCTTCAGCTTTGATCGCATTACAATCGTTTCAACTATCTCACGGCCATCTGATGATACACAAAAAAAACTCAAGTTAAGATATATAGTTTAAAAAATTTCATCATCACAGATTTTTGTTTGATTTTAATTTATTGAAATTTTTTTTCATTTTAAAAATTAATGTTATGTTTAAACATTACGACTAATTAATTACAATTTTTTGACTTTAGTTGTTAATATAATTTGTATAAACATTGAAAAAAAAAAAAAAAAAAAAAAAATTAACTTGATTCAAAAGAAAAATTCTTGAACCAATAATATTATTTTGAAAAATTTCATTACCTTGAATCAAAATGAAAAATTCTTGAATGAAGTGAAATTCGAATTAAAAATTTCTTAATTCAATAATTTTTCTAAAATCAAAAAAATAAAACTATCCAAAATTATTTTCTTGAATTAAGTCTTGAATTAAGAATTTTTTTCTTGAATTAAGTTAATTTTTTTTTCAGTGTATTAAAAAATATTTATTAAAATTAAATGTACAATTTTTTAAAATTTCTATCCATTAAATTTTTTTTTATGATTCATTTGTTTGAAAAATACTAAAAATTATCAGATGGCTGGCAATATCAGTATCGCAATAATAATAATTTAATTTACGAATTTAGTTAAATCAGTTTCAGCTCAAACAGTTTCATTAAAAATTCATAATGCAATATATAATATATAATCTAAAGCTTTGAGTCGTATTGACACTGATAAGTAATCAATATTTGAATCAAAATAATTATTTATCCATGTAATGATCTCATTAATTTAATTTTTATATTATATACCTTTTTTATGCATAACAAAATTTAAAATGTATTCATTACATTACACTATACGCCAAAAGGATTATTCTTTTAAATTCCTATGAAGTCTATTTGAGATTTACAAATAAGTTTAAATTTACAATAGTCTAAAATATTTCTACCACATTGGAGATAAATTATTTTTTCAGTATATCTTTGCAAAAAAATGATAAATTTACTATTTTAAAATAGAGTTATGACAAACTCTGGAATAATACATTTCAAAAAAATTTTACATTTTTTTTTAAAAATATTTTTTATGATTTATAAGTTATCAATTTTGTCAAAATTATATTTTAAAGCGCTAAACAATAAAAATTCAACTGTGCTTTTTCCGTGTTATCAGATGTCCAAAAAATGAACAAATCATAACTCAAAAAATTAAAAAATGAACAGTAAAATTATATAAAAATAAATAATAAATCTTTTGCAAAAAAAAAAAAAAAAAACATTTGAATCCAAGTCACGATCAAGTGACAGCAATTTTTCAATCAGTTTATCTGACAGGTCAATATTGCGTGTGTGTATTTTTCAACAACGGGATGATGGAAAAAAATAGTAGTCAAGAGAAAATAAAATATAAAATGTTAAAAAAAAATTTATACGGTACCGAGCATAGAATAAAAGCAACAACAAGTGATTTTGGCCCTGACAAGAATTGGATGGAGATGGATGGCAGGTCTCTGGGGGCAGTGTAATAGTTTCACCCGTGCCGGCAGTCTACAGCTAGATATATACAGAGCTTTACTTACAAATATATTACAATACACATGTGTAGTATGTAGTGTGTAGTATGTAGTTGAGCCTGGAGTAAAGGAACATAATGTTATATGGGGATGGCTGGTATTGTCATGCCTACTGATATTATGTGTATAATAGGTTCCTAGATCCAAGATGAGCCTACTCGACCTGGACACATTTAATGCACACATGGCACGCTACGCATATTATTATAATATATCAATTGCTGGTATAACTTTCAACGCGTCGACGAGCCGTGTACACTTGTCCTTTGCTCCTGGGTCTAGGGGAAAGGATCACCTAGCAAATGTTTACTACACTCGGGTTAGGTTAAAAAATACATTTTGTGGGTATTAGTGACGATGGGGATCGCCGACGGGGCCCTGCTCTTGTACATGATACGGTTTACTTGATAGTCTACGACCAAGGGATGGATTTATAATAGAATCATTTATAATATTTCACGGCTGTTGAGTTTTATATTGTAATCTCAGTAATATTAACTTGGGAATAATTATTCTGATATTCGTTCTAATTTATTAAATTTGTTATTTTTTAATACACAAATTTAAAATTTTTGATAATTATAAAAAAAATTTTAATGAAAATTATTAATCTAAATCTTAATCAATTTTTAAGTAAAAAAATATGATAATTCCTTAGATGCGGGGGCTCCATTTTTTTTTTACTATAAAAAATTTAAAAACAAACTTATACATTGTATAAGTTTTTTTTTTCAATTTTATTCGTTGCGACAGATTCGTAAGTAGGTATAACTTGGAAAAAAAGTTTTTCGATTACATTATTCAATTTGAAAGTCAAAAAAATGAATACTTGTTTTATTTTTCATTGAAATTTTTTTGACATTAATGAGTACAGTGCAACACTATTTTTTCTTCTTAAAAAGTAAGAATGTAAAAATACGTAAATTTTTTAAAAATTCATAGAAAAATTTTTTATTTTAGTATTAGGACATATTTTTTTCTTAAATTTATTTTTTTCATTTTTTCATACTCTTTATGAAAGAAAAAAAAATAGTGTAGTAATCTATAAATTGATATTGGAAAAATATAAGTGAAAAACAAGAGATTAAGTATTTCTTTGATTATTAAACTGCAAAAATAATATAAAGATAGAATTTTTTAAGCTTTGAAAAGAAAATTGAAAAAATAAATGACAATAACTCAATTTTTTTATTTTTTATAGTCGAAAAATGAGGGAGCTTTACATTTAAAAAATTACCAAAAATAATAATATCCGTTCATCTTCAAACTAATCAGACTCTCAATTGCACATTTCTTTAAGGGAACAAAGGCTTACTTGGAAAAAAAAAAATGTTAAAGAAAAAATGTTGTTTTGAAGTAAGAAGAATTTTTTTAGGTCATATTAAAATTTGGAATCCTCGGAATAATGTTATTCAGTTTAAAATTTAGCAATATTGACACAGTAAAGTCATACTTTACATAATGTATCATCATTTTCAATGAAAAAAATAAAATCTTTCATCATTATTTCTAAATTTATAAAAATTTCACAATCTCCAAATAATGAAAAAGTTTAAAATGAATTAATTAACTTAATATTATAATTTGTTTGGTGCTAATTCATTTTGCCACCAAAAATCTAAAGAGTTTCTCAACTTTCCATCTACTTCTAAAAATATTTTTCTGCCCTCCGGCCGGAAAGTGGCAACTTTCTGGCCGCTGCGCTAAACAAAGTTGCCACATTCCGGCTACGTCGAGCAGAAAAATAGTATACACACCTTGGCCAGTAAAAAGTAAAGCCTCAGATCACATGTTTGTCAACCTCGGCTTCGCCTCGGCCAACAATTACATGTGATCTGAGACTTTTCTTATTTTACTGGTCTAGGTATGTAATATACTATTTCGATTTTTAATAAATTTAATTCGACTTATTCTCTCTTTATTTGTATTTGTATTCAATTTTATTTTTTCAGTTACTCCGATTTCTTATATTTGTATTTTTCAACAAACATACTTTTTTTATACTCGATCCATCATTTTATTATATTATTTACCAATTAATCAAACTACTCCAAAATATTCGATATCAAAACACAAATAAGAAATTATAAAACTTGTGTAATTTGGATTATTTTGCAATATTTTATTTTTACTTAACTCGGTATTTATATCCAGCCTTGAAAGCACACGTGCTTTGATTTTTAAAAATATTTGAACATAAAATTAAGAACCCACAGGAGAGTAAGAATCAAAAATTTACTCACATTAAATATTACATCAATCCTCAAATAAAAACAATCACAAGCTCTAAATTTAATCCAAACCAAAGATTAATTAGTGACTAAAAATAAATTATTATTGCCTAATGAATAAAACAAAATAAAGATTTACAAACCGGTAGATTAATTTTCTCCGAACACTCCGCTTAAAAAATCCGCTGCAGCCATTGCAAGCAAGAATTCCGTAGTGTTTTCCGGAGCTAGTGTCTCCGCAGACGACACAGATGAGTCCCAAGCTTCTCGAGGGCTTGTTATTATGTTGGGACTGCTGGAGTTGATGCGGTGACTGCTGTAGTTGCTGAGATTGCTGATGCTGGGAATGCTGGTGCTGATGTTGCTGGACCTGGAGCAAGTGCGGATGCCCGTTTGACAACGCGGACATGTACGGCGATCGAGCCAGCGGGAATTCCGACGGCAACGGACGGCACAGCGGAACAGGACAATCTTGGACCGAACGCGAAGCGTAAGGATCATGGCTTGATGTTGATTCAGTAGCTCCCAGCGGGCTATAACGCTCTGGAAGTCCTGGAGAAATTATACTGGACTCTCCGGAATCTGAAATAAAAAAATTAATTAATATAATTGTTAATTTTTTTTATTATTCTTTATACAAAAAATTCTTCTTTGAAAAAAAAATATTTCTGGCTCAAGAAAAAATTAAAAAATATTTTTATTATTTTTTTCTAAAAAAAACAAATTTTTTTTTTAGCTTGAAAAAAATTTCAAAAAAATTTTATGTCCTCAAAATTTTTCATAATTATAATAAACTTTTTTTTACTGAGTTGTAAAATGATTAAGTCAAAAAATATTTTACTTAGAAAAAGCTAATATCAATTAATCATTGACAATTATTCAATTATTTATAAAACAATAAAAATTTTTATTATGAATTATGATGATTAATAATTGTTATTTTCTTTTTTAATATTATTTTTTAAAATTACTTATTTAGTTGTTACAGACAGACGAAATAAATAATAACGGAATTCAATAAATGTTTAGCATACAAGTATCATATGTATATAGGTATATAATTCGAATGAAGTTTATTATGATTATTTATATATCATACGCCAGACTTTACACAAATGTCGTGCTGATACGCGAAAGAGCAGTGACCGAGTAAAGGTATTAGTACATAAAATTAATGTAACGCATCTTAATATGTGTAGTGCGTAATGTGTATTGAACACAATACAACAAAGTACCACAATAATAAAATACAATATATAGGTATAATATAATAAAGCATCGTCTACACATTGCTGGAGTATGTACGTACACGACTGCTAAAATAATTTAAAATTATTAAAATTATTTGTACAATTGTCATCCTGACGACAGCTAAATAAATTTTGTTTTTATCTTTAATATTATTGTTTGATGTTTAAATTAATAACATCAAACAAATGTTACTGACCACGGTTCAACTGGAATATTCTATTTATTCGTCATTTTATTGTAATTAATGTGTATTATATATTTTTTTATTCTTGTTTTTTAGAGTGCTTAAATTTACCAGAAAGTTTTAAAGCCCGGGATTTATATTTGCAGTCGATTGAACAAACAGTATTTTCTTTTACGGAATTTGAATCTCTTTATAAAGACAGCATTTTATTTTATTTACATTTTTTTTGGTCCGGGTTTTGTTCTTGTTCTTGTTATTTATTTTTTTTCATTCAAGAAGCTTAGAGGGATACTGAGATTCTTTGGTCCTTGGTAAACAGAATTTACATCGAGAAATGAGTTTTGAAAAAGCTCGGAAAGTGTCGAAATTGCAGAAATGTTATTCCGATTCTTTTTCGGCCCGCCGTGATTACATATTTATGAACTACAAGGGGCTAAAAATAAAATAATCTTTTTGCTATGCGAGTCAAAATGTTTGACTTGATTGATTTAGATTGAAAATACATTATATTTAATTTAAACTTGTAAGCGATAAAAATTATCTTAGAATTAATTTATTAATTAAATATTTTAATTAAAAAAATTCAAATATATTTTTTGTAAATTTTAGTGGAAAAAAATTGATTTAATTATTTAAACTTTGCGTTAAAAATTAAACATTTAAAATTATTTAATTTTAAATCGAATCATATTAAATTTTATAACTTATCTCTTGAATAAAAAATTTTTAAAAAACCAAATAATAATGTTACTTAGAAGTAAGTAATTGCATGTAAGTTATGTAATTGAAATAATTGTTTTTAAATAGATACAAGAGATGTTGTAGTAATTTTCAAATAAAAGGGACATAAATAACAAGAATGAATAATAAAATAAAATAGGGGTGATGCCGTTATATAAAGCGATACTCGTCGCATTATTTAACTACTCTATATACATATAAAGCATCTGATGGTAGTCAACGAATACGAAAATGTGATTTTGTCGTATAGTACTACAGTGCTGGTTCGCGAGGGTCGTGCAATTTAATTTGAATTACTTTTACTCTTACTCTCTCAGTATTACTACCAGAACAACCCGAAAGCCCACTTAGATTATTAGTCACGCTTTTCATCAGATCTTGATTTTATGGGATTATATTTATCGCTTCAAGTGTTGCGACACCATGCAATCACTCAATCAATATTAACAAATCTCGAGTTAATTTTTCCCAATAATTGATCATCCAGATCCGGAGTTATAAAAATAAATAAAAACTCCAAATCAGTGAACAATAAAACACGAATAAAAATAAAAGGATATTTGGTCTTGAAAAATAACTGAGGATTTGAGGGCTGTAGACCGTTTAGCAATTTCTCATCAAAATTTACTCTCGCCACACCCCAGGGGAGCAAGCTGTATAGTAATACAGAAGCGGTACCCGAGTAGTTGGCGAGGCAACGCGCAATGATCCCATAATACCGGGCGCAGGTGGCGCCCGACGAGTCCGTGCCATCCACCAGCATTGATATGCTAATGAAATTTGACGCCCTCGCTGCAGAGCCAAATACAACTGAACCAAGAGGGTCACAGAATAAGAAGGAACTGTTACAAATCCGTCACCTTCAATCTCTCTGTTGTACCCCTTGTATTTTTCATCCCTCTCGCTTCTTCTTGCTCAATTCATTAATTCATTTTGCGATGCTCTTTCGCAACTTTCTTTGTCGCAGAACTAAACCCTGGAGTGGCATTGTGGCATTCCTACGTCGTTTCACCCGACGGAACTGGGATTTGATTACTCTAATGGGATACAGCACTCACATACACGGATTTACTTTATTGCGCCCACTTGTTATGTCAATGGGGTAAAAATTATTATTCCGATTGTGGGGTATTATTTACTGCGCTGTAATAAATATTTAATATATAGGATTAAAGTTTTTTTTTTTTATTATCTTTCAGTATAATAATGTCTTGTATGTTTGCTCATTAATCTATTAACTTAATACAGAAAAATAAATATTTGCAACGCGATTTAATTTTAATTAAAATGGAAGTTAATTGAGTATTATTAACAGGCTAAGCAAATAATTGTATTTTAAATATTTATTTTACTGTAATAAGCTTAAAAATTATAAATTAATTTTTTTAATTTTAAATATTTGATTATATTTTATTATTTACCATGACGAATACTTAGAGGACTTCCAGGACTACGAGGATGTTCAGAGCTGGTGTCATTTTGCGAAGACTGTCTTTGAAGTTGATTGTCAGGAGTTCCAATTGCTGTTCCATTCATGATTAATAACTTTTTTTTAAATTAATTATGAGTATTTTTTTTTTTTTTTTTTAAATAAATCACAGAGTTTTTTCACTTGATAAAATTCACTGCAAACTCAAAAAAACAAATGTTTAGTGGAATATAATAAAATAATTATTGTATTAATTTTCAAATAGAATAATTAGAATCTATAATGAGTCGAAAGAACCGAAACTGATCTGTTGACAATCGTCGACTGGTATCTGCCGTTTCTCCTGGTTGTGGTGGATCTCTACGTGCTGATATAATGTCGAGTATCCCGATCTCAGACTGACGTTAGTTGGTTTTCATACACGACGCGATTGGTCCGCTGGTACTTTTGAAGGCGGGATCAGGAGGCAACGCGAGAAAAACAACAAAAACGTATACGAGGATTTAACCTATAGCCGCTACGTTTGACTCGGCGTCAAGGCGCAAGCGCCGATCGTGGAACCCGATACTGCCGTCCACCCTTCTGTAGGAGAATCATCCCTCCTGATATCCTTGTTACCTTGCGTTTGCTATTTTTTCTCCCTCTCCTAGCTATTTTTATTTTTAAATCCACCTTGCTCACTGGATTTTGCTTTACCATATAGATCACGCTCTATATATACATACGTGTTATTGTGTATTTTTATAAGTTTGTGTAATACGTGGATCATGAACCACACGTCGGAAATTGTTCGTCATTGCCGGCATCAATCTTGTCTTATAATATACACAACAAGATATTTATAAACAGATGTGTTCATTATCATGGATAATTTATGAAATTATTTCTACATCATAAGCATAATCTTATAACTTTTATAATTCCAAGTACTTTAACTCATGATCCTTTAAAATGAAAAATTATCGTCATCTGTAAATAAATAAATAAATAAATAAATAAATAAATAAATAAAAGTTATTGATTAATTTTTTAACATTAATAAATTGATTTCTTCAGGGTTGCAAAAATATATTTATTTTATCTATAACTGATAAATTAACTTCAAATAATTATTATTGTTACTCTTTATTGATATTAAGAGTTAAAAAAGAAATAAATTAAAATTTTCAAATAAATACTTGGAATAATTTTAATTTTTTATTTCGGAAAGAAGAAATTAAAGGTTGAAAATAAAAAAAATGGTAAATATTTACAAGTGGGGTCAAAAATTTTAATCTTTATTTTTTTTAACGAAATTTCTATTGGATTTTATTGATATATTTTTTTTTGAAAAAAAAAAAAAAAAAAATAAAAAAAATGAACAATTTAAAAAAAAAAAAAAAAGTTGAATATCACAATTTTCAAAAAAATTTATAAATTTAAAAAAAAATTGAGATAGTCAACTTTTTTTTTTTTAATTTAAAAAAAAAATTTTAAAAAAATTAATTAAAATTAATTTAATTAATAATTAAAAATTAAAAGAAATTTTATTAAAAAACATGAGCCAAAATTTTTTCTAACTTTCAAAGATTTTTTAATTGAAATATTAATTTTTTGATATTTTCGATATCACCACCATCGACTCGCTGTAAAAACAAAGAAGTTAAAAAAAAATTATGATGATCCATCAATTCATCTATTTTTTATAGCCAAAAATAGTTTTGACCCCACTTGTAAATAATTACCAAAAAAATATGCAATCCTGGATAAAGTTAATAAAAAAAATAAAATTTACGTCTGACTATAATATTTCAATCTACTGATAAGAGTAGACAAACCCGATATAGTAGCAAATGGATAGTAAAATCAAGTAGAATATCCATTGCAAGGGCAGACACATTAAACTCTTGACAGTTAGCTTTCTACGACTACGATTAGTACCGAGGAATTAATTTGTTTTTGTACATAGGTATGTAATACTTGCTACATACAACCATTTCGAAGGTGACGGAAGAAAACTGGAGGGTTGAAACTCCTCCACAATCTCTAAGACTCGTTATCATGCTGTAGCAATTAATTACTTGGTTCAACTGGCGACTCTTCAGGTCGAGTAGCGCTGACCGGAAGCCGCAAGGATATAATCCATTTTAGGACGGCAGGATGTCGAGGGCGAAAACTTGAAAGTAAGGGAGCAAGTGGGGACAATAGCAAGTAACTTGGGTATGTATCCGCCATGCTGAATTTCCGGATGTATAAATGTATAAAACCAGAGAATGACATTGACAACGACAACTACATCCGTGGAAAGTAACAGAGTCCTGGTAAAATGTCATACAAGGGATGGAGATGCTCTTTTCCTCTCTACTCCACTCTGGTCCCCACTTTCAAATGCCATACGACCACGCCCCGGCGTTTAAATACAAGCCAATGGCATCCCGACATTGTAACGCTGACGTCCACCAATAGGATTACCCTCTGACACGGTCTTTCGCTCTCCTGAGTTATCACCGATTGCACAACGGAAAAGCAACCCCGTCGCCCCGCTGTGACCCATACCCACCATCCAGCAGTGGAGACTCCAAACCCATCCAAATCCGTGGCCTCTTTTGCTTTGTAGCTTTATATTTCTATTCCTCTCACTCTCTGCTACTCAACTCCACTCAGCTCAATCTCCCTCGGCATTAATTCTCTACGCGCGTGTCATCAGTCTCTCTTCCATACTCTTTCAATTCCGCTGATGTTGCACACTTACAATCAGGACCTAAGACATCAAATTGCACTTCTCATTTCTGAACATCTACTCTCTTTTAATTTATATTTATATTTATTTATTAATATATTTTTATTTAATACATTATTATTAAAATTCAGAATCCTGTAAATTAAAGTGTAAAAATAACTTAATGCAAGATACTATTAAATTTACCTTATTGTCTTAAGCTGTAGACTAATTTTCAATTTCTTTGTTCATGTTTTAAAAATATTTTTTGTTTTTTTACTTGATAATGTCTTTGTTTATTTTTATTTATTATTATTTAATTATATCTAAATAATTTGCACGCATGTCGCTCATTTATACATTTTAAGCTCATGGTTTTAAAGTTATGTTTCGCAGCATACACAGATCACGAGCCGTTGCCTTTCTACCAGGAGTTGTCTGGATGTCGTACAGACGAAGTAGCAAATCTGTTGTAAATAATTCGGGAAGTGCTTTCAGCAAACAAGGCACCTGTAATAAAGCAACAAAAAAATTTTTAAAAATAATTAATGCTGAAATTTCATTTTAAAACTGAAAAATAATTTACATGCGAGTTCTTTAGAAGTTTTCAAAAAGAATTTGTTTAACTACCTTTTGTCAATTGACTTATAGATTGATTAATATTTCTAAGTTTATGTGCAATATCATGATGTATTATTTTGTTTAGTTAGTTATTTACAAGATGTTAGTTAACTTTTACTCCAAATAAGAAATTGATTTATTTAAATCTCATTATAATTTAATCATAAATTATCACCAAACATATTTTTTAAATTTATAATATTGTTAAGCATAATTTATTCTTATATCACTTTATAGTTTTTGTTTGTTATATTCTTACACATATTAATTTCATGTAACAATTGTATTATTTTGTATATTTTCAGTTCCACAAGAACTATTGTATTTCATACCTTGCCATTTGGCCTGTGCCTTGGCATTTATTATTAATAAATAAATAAATAAATAAATAAAATAATTTACAATCATAAATAAAAATAAAACTTACGAGAGTTTGTGGCATTCCTTGAAGAACAACACGCGTCCTATCTTTCCCGCATTGCACCATAATTTTAAGAAACTGCAGAATAAAGTTCGTCTGCTGCGACACTTGGCCGTCGCGAGCCGCGAGGTAGTTGAAAGTTTTAAAAAGTCCATTGAGTGTGTTCAGAAGAGGATCTCGAAGTACCAAAGACTTTTGAGTGCCATTAGTAGGCCCCGAAGCTTGCGGTGAGTTAGATCCAAAAATAGCATTTGTATCACCAGTCTCATTTAGCCGTAACAATTTATTAGCAGGCCCGCAAATCGCTTCCATGTCCTCCGATTCAAGATCACGCCTCGTTCTCTTTCTGTTGTTGCCCTTCTGTGGATTAGAATTGTTAAACTCCAGCGTAGAGAGTATGCAGTAGACACACAATTTCGCTAGCTCCGACGACTGAGGTTCCACCAATTGTTCGCCCTGCTGCGAGTTGTACAGATACTGCGGGAGAACATGATTCAGAAGATCCAGTGTGCAATTTTCAATATCCAAATGAAATATCGCAAAGATTAAATCAATAGCTTGATCCAATTGCTCTTGATAGCGATATTTGAGCGCTTCTTTAATGAGATTTGAAACAAACCACAAAGACCCACCGGTATTGAGCAAAGACTCGAGAGTGTGCGTAGCGTTAATATTAACCCAGCCTTTCTGGTGGATTTCCTGCCACACAGACTCCAGTTGCTCGAGTATCGGCTGCTTAGAGATTACATTGTGGTACATGGACACCACCTTGGTCTTGGACTGCGTCGGTGGATGAATGTTGTACTGCATTTTCCTGATAATCTGGAACATAAGAGCACTGGTGTCGTGCTTGAAATTATTATCCTGGACCTCATCCGGTGGGAGAGGAGTCACAAATTGCTGGACCATGTTCATTGGCTTCAGCAATGCGTCTTGGTGCGTGATACTCATGTGAGCGCACAGCCAGGCCGCTGCACAAACGGGAAGACAGTAAGCGGTTGATCTCAACCCATCCAATGCGCGTTTTACATCAGTTGCACCTAGAACACCAGACTCCCAAGCACACAGCAGTTCTTTCACCGCTCCCATAGCGCTTTGACACTGCACGTGCCATTTTACATTGCTGCTCTTTAAATCCGGCTCCGGAGAATTTATCTGCGCAAGCAGCGCGTCTACTCTGGCGCTATCAATATTTTGGAGCATTTTGTGAGGAGATTTAGGCTTGTCGCGCTCAGGCATGCACTCACGCACCCACTGCTCAAAGAAAGAGTCTCCACCTTCTTCGAGGACGACATCCGAGCCGTATGTCTGGACAATGAAGCAGAGAATCAAGAATGATATGTCAAAAAGCATTGCTCGTGTAGCTACTGTTTTACCAGGCACTGGATCGTTCATCTGTTTACTACACTCGTTGAATTTTATCAATTTGGTGACGAAATTTTTCAATTGTCCTTCAACAGTAGCCACTGCTAGCATCAAATCAAGACTCTTGCCGTTTAAAACTTGGCAAAGCATGCTCAGCAGCGCTTCTTGAATTTTTGTGTAATCAGCAGACAAAGTTTTTAGAATACCCGCTAAGGTGGGCTCAGCTCGGACGATAACTTTCATTATTGTTGAAGTTGGTGAGCTAGAAGACTCTAACTTTTGCAACGCAGCGGCAACACCTTCACGTCTACTGCTCAATTGCTTAACTTGTTTTTCCGTCACCAGATTAACCTTTTGAAGCTCGTTTAAAAGACACTCGACACTGTTGCACGAGCACGTCGCGTCCATGATGTCCAGCAACGGAGCAAACTGCAGCAGCAATTCAAAAGCGTCAATTATATCCTGAGAGTACTCGAGCTTTTCTTCAGGACTGCCTGGAGTTACCGTTGTTGCGTGGAGTTCTTTGAGGATAAATGGTACCTTGAGAAAAGTAACTGCGCCCCACTGAGATTCTTTCACGGTTCCTGTAGCGTTGTGCAAACACAAGAGACACGCTCTCATTATTTCGCAGTAGAGCCGTGGGTTGGAATAACCTTTCAGGCGCTTTATCATCAATAATTGATTGACGAAGACCGTAGTCTCGGTACTGGGGTTCAGAAGCACCTGGACAGCAAAGAGCGGCTGCAAGCAGTAAGTTATTGATTCAACAGTGGAATTAGTAGAGTTTGGAGCGACTGTTTCTATTTCTAAATTGCATAATTTTTTTAACGAGTCGTCGATAGGCGAGGGTGACTTTTGACCACTTGCTTTGTACAGTGCCTCGATTTCTTGGGACTTTTTAACAACTTCGAGGTAGAGATCTTTATCGTCGTACTTTGCTAGGTACATCATCGCACACAGAAAGTCTGAGCTCAGCATCTGCTTTAAAATACTTGCCGGTTTCTCGATAAGGTCCGCCATTTGTGGATTAGCCAGGGCGTTGTTTTGAGGCACCTTCAGTGTATTCAAATAACACTGGAGCAGCCAGTCGACTATGGACAGCACAGCAGCTGCCAGTAAATCTTCTTCAGGTTTTCCACGACAAGTGATCCCCACCTGGATCGACTCGAGGAACTCCAGCAGACAGACGATGCAGTGTGGTTTTTGGAAAGCGTCATACTTACTTATTCTTTGGAGTACCGCCGCATATGAGACCAACTGAGAGCTCAGTGAGTGCTTCAAGTATGATAATACTAACTGGTTTGGTCCTGGGCCCACCAGGGCTTGCTGTAGAATACAATCAGCTAGATTGTAGACATCTCCACTTACTCCTCGAGGTAGAATTGTTTTTATATTTATTCCCCACTGCAGATCGCTCCAACGTTCACGCCAAGCGCGCAGTATCAATGCCTTCAAACTACTTGTTTTACTTGTCACTTTGGTCTCCATTGTTGAGTTTAGTACTAATGAACACATTGTTCAAATTCAATTACTTTTCTGGAAATTAAAAAAAATTTTTTTAGTTATAAAAAATAAATATTTTTTATGACACTGAAGTTGACAGACAATGAAAATTAAGTGAGCCGACATTTAAAAATTTTTAGAATTTTTTTTTTTTTATTAAAAAAATTATTATAAAAAAATTTTTTTTAAATTTAACAATTAAAAAAAAAATTTCACATGTAAAAAACTTGAAAAACTACAAGTGCAATTTTTTATAAATCTTTTTTTAGTTGCAATTTAATTTAAAAAAAAAATCAAAAATTTTTAGATGTCGGCTAACTTAATTTTCATAAAAAAAATCAAAAAATTAAAAACGACGGCTAATTTAATTTTCATTGACAGACATTAAAAATTTTTTTAGAATTTTATAGCAATTAAATTATTATAAAAAAAAAATTAATTAAAAAATTCAACATGTGAAAATTAATAAAAATTATAAGTGAAAATTTTTAGAAGCATTTTTTTATTGTAATTAATTTGTTTAAAAAATTTTTAAAATTGACAGCTTCAGTATCATTATTTTTTAAAAATAAAAACGACTATAACTATAAATGCAATAATAATAATTATTATCATTAATATATAACCTAATAATTATAAGCTGTATGCTTTTAGAGTTGAATTTTAAAAATTTTCACAATAATGAAAACAATAAACATGCGGTAATTATTAAATATTTAAATTAACAAGTAAATTTTTCATTTAAAAGTGTATGAAAATTGCATGTCAAAATAATTAAGGTATAATTAAGAAAAATTTTAATCTAATAAAATAAAATGGAGTTTTTTTTTTCAAGCACAAAGAATTATCAGATATTTATAATTTTGATTATCAATAATTTAATGAAAATTTTAAAATAATTTTTTGTTATTTTTACGACATAAAAATTTTCTAACCCATAGAATTATCATGAATAGTATAACCTATTTGTCAGTGTCTATTTTTAAAAACGTAAAATAAATCTAGTTCTAAAATAAATCATAAAATATGAATTAAACATACCTGTTATTGTTGACATTATTAAAATTTTTTTATTTAAGTTACTGATCTTCGTAATAAAGATGCAAAAAACCAAAACATCTCAGCGTTCGTTTATACAATTCTTAGCAATTTGCATGTACTTTGTGGTGGTTCGATTGTTGTTAGAAACAACTGTGATGACGTGAGGCGACATTACCAACTGTAGAATCAGAAAAATTTATAAAATTCGCAAAATCAGCAATGAAAAAATTAAACTTATCAATGACAGTTAATCAAAAGTTCATCACAAACTCGAAAGATGTCAAAAAACTTTTATCTATATTTATCTTTTAAAGTGCTCTGTAATGAATTTGAGGGTTAAAAAAATTTATCATGTTTAAAAGTTGTAAGTTAAAATAATTAAACAATCATATGAATTATTTACCAATTAAAAATATCAAATCATTGGATAATATAATTTCAAATCCATGACAGTTACAAAATTATTAAAATCTAATTCATTTAATATTAAAAAAAAAACAATAATTTAGTTGACTTCAACTAGCCTAATAACTTGCTGTAAAATAAAACTCAAAGATCTCACAATCATGCCTTCGTTGTGTTATATTCTGTTTCCAATAATTGTAATAATGGGATTGCTGAGAAAATGCCGTGAGCGTACTTGGGGAAGATGCAAAGACACGAGTAGCTTACAGGGAAAAGTTTTCCTGGTGACCGGTGCTAATTCTGGCATTGGTAAGGAAACTGTTCGTGAACTCGCCAGAAGGCAAGCTCGTGTTATTTTGGCATGTAGAGACATGGACAATGCACGTAATGCTATTTCGGAAATACGTAAGGATGTATCCACTGGTGAAATGGTAATTTTTTCTTAATATGTTTTATGACTAGAAATTACGAGAAAATAATAAATATTTTTTGACATTAAAGTTAGCTGTAACTTGATAATTTTTTAATTTTATTTAACAAATAAATCTTTTCTGATAAATTATTTTTAAAAAATTGCATTTATAATTTTTTAAATTTCTACATGTCAATTTTTTGTCATAGTTTATTTGTTAAAAAAATTCTAAAAATGATTAAATATCAGCTTAATTGATTCTCATGACAATTTTTTAGATTCCCATGGAATTGGATCTGGCTTCTTTGGTCTCAATACGCAAATTTGCTCAACAAGTACTTAATGACTTTCCAGAAATTCATTGCTTAATAAATAATGCCGGAGTTTATGTACCATTAAAAAACAGCTCGATGACAAGAGATGGTTTTGAAATTCATTTTGGTGTTAATCATTTAGGACACTTTTTATTAACTAATTTACTTTTGGACAGGCTTAAAGTTTCAGCACCCAGCAGGTAATTTGACTAATTCTAAAAGTTGAAATTTATTTTATTAAACATAAAAAATTCTTTTATAATACTAAAGTTAGCCGACATTTCTAATTTTATTTTTTTTTTTTTTTTTTCATTTATTAAATTGGAACAAAAAAATATTTTTTTAAACTTGCAATTAAAGTTTTACAAATGAAAATTTTTTTTTCTCATTTTTTTGTAATGATTTTTTCAATAAAAAAAAATTATAAAAATTTTTAGATATCGACTAACTTAATTTTCATAATTTATTTTAGGGTTGTAATTGTTACATCAAAATTGTTATCCGGAGTAATTGACTTTTCGAATTTAAATGGTGAAAAAGGGCTACCTGCAAAAGGCCGTATGAATCCTGGGTACGTTAATTCGAAATTAGCCAATGTATACTTTGGTAAAGAATTAGCTAAGCGCTTACAAGATTCAGGCGTCAATGTTTATATGGTTTGTCCTGGATTTGCTTACACTGGACTGTTTCGAAATGTAAAACGCAGTTGGTTCCATTACATATTATTTTCGCCAGTCGCTCTCCTATTTTTACGTACTGCTCATCAGGTAATTGCTTATTAATCCCAATAATTTATTAAATTAAAAATAATTAGTCTTTGTCATTATACTAATTATGAGTATTTAATTTAATTAGGGCGCACAAACAGTTTTACACTGCGCAACAGATGCTTCCTTGTCTGAAGAATCAGGACTTATTTACCGTGACTGCAAAACTTATGATTCAAAGGTAGAATTCAAGGATGATGTTGCCGAAAACTTGTGGGCCGTGAGTGCCAGTCTTGTGGGAGTTAATACTATTAAATAGATGTAATTTTAATTATTGATACTCAATAAGATAGTTATTGATAAGGTTTGAAGTGAGAAGTTTGAAATAAATTAGAATAAGATTTTTTTTAAATGTACAAATAAGTAGATGTTATTGTTTTAGAATCAACTTTTTACAATCCTAAATCAACTTGATAGAATTTTCGTGATGACTTTTTAAGGACGTTCCTAGACAAGAAAAAGACACCAATAGGTTTTGGCTATTGGTTTTTTTTCTCACGCACTAATTCTGCCTCTCATTACAGAGTATTGCTCACTTACTTCCACTTATGTAAAATATCAAAAGTCATTAACTTCAAACATTTTTTATAAAAAAATAAATACCGCTCGTTTATGATATTTTTGATAAAAAATACTTGTTATAAGGTAAAAAAAAAAACCCAGTTATTGACACTGGCCTAATTAATTGACACTTGCAATTTTATTCTAATTAAAAAAATAAAATGTTCTCAAAAATCCAATAATCTTAAAATTTATAATTCAAAAATTATATTTATTAATTTATTAAAGTCGATTTGTTTTATTTAAATAAAATAAAACTGCAAGTGTCAATAACTAGTTCAGTGTCAATAACTGGGTATTTTACCTTATCTTCAATTAATGATTTTCAGTTTTTTAAAACAATCTGAAGAAAAGTACGATTGATATTTATTAAAACATTCGCTTGAACGTCGGTCAGCATTGGGTTTGTATGTAAAATATACAAATTTTGAAGGCTAATATTTCAAAATTTAGTGCCACAAGGACTATTTTAAAAAAATTCCTGCATATATAGGATACTCTTGAGTACTCAAAATTTCAAAAAAATTTTAAGAAAACTGTTTTTTCTCGGAACTCCCTTAATTGTATTTATTGATAAGCTTTTTGAAAAAATGAAAATAATTATGATGTAAAAATTTATTGTTGGCGATAAAAAAGTATTTAATTGATTAGTAATACACTAATTAGAGGGATTCTAAAAGAACATTTTTTACAGCCAACCAATGAACGAGCACAGTTAATTAAATTATTTTTAGAACACTTAGTAGTTGATAAAAAAAATGACTCAATGAAAAATCGGAGTAAAATGTCAGAAAATAATTTTAGTAATTATAAGCTACAGATTAGGAAAATAACGTTTGATTAAATTAACAATAGCTTACAAATGATAATTATAAATTAATGATCTAATTGTATCAATAATTATTATTTATAAATAATTATACAACAGGATAAATTAAAGACACGTTATTAATTTTTTAACGTGTCTGTACAACACAAAATAATTTATATTTACACAAACTCGAATAATAATTTTCTTACATGTTGCCATTAAAAAAATTTTAAATCGTTGACAATTAAATCACTCATAACTGCGTGCTTTTAATATTTTTTGAAATTAATAAATATATATAGATTTGTAACATAGTGACCTGCATAATACAAAATAATAAATTTTTAATTCAAAATAAGAATGAAAATAAAACAATTAAATATAGGCTTTTATTGTTGTTGTTATTATTATTATTATCATTATTATTATTATTATTGTTTTAGTAACTAAACATTGCTAGAGTGAATGCATTTGAAAATGTATCTATGAACGTGGTTTCATAACTTTGAAACTTGTTTTTTTACTTGCTAACGCTTCTGTTCTTGCAAAAACATTTTCCGAGCTTCGCCGTATCGAGTCTATAAATTCTGAAGACGTACGATAATCGTTTATCACTTCTTGCACTTTATTTGGCTGAGATTGAGATGTAACTGATATAGTTTCTCTCTTTTTTACCTAAATACCATCAATAATTATCATCAAGTCTTAATAAAATATGATTGACATATCAATACTGCCATTCTAATATGTCGTATCCTACAAAATTTAATATATTGATTTTTTTTAAAAAATAGAATCACAACAATATTAGGGTAAAAGACCCCATTAGTGGTGGGGACCCTATTACTGACACTTTCTTTGATTTTGGTACTTATACAACTAATTAAATCATTAATTTCAATAATGAATATATTATATTTAATCTTTAAGATCTTTAGATCAAGAAAATTTTTAATTTTTATTCCAAGTAGAACATTTTTTCTGCCCTCCGGCCGGAAAGTGGCAACTTTCTGGCCGCTGCGCTAAACAAAGTTGCCACATTCCGGCTACGTTGAGCAGAAAAATAGTATACACACCTTGGCCAGTAAAAAGTAAAGCCTCAGACCACATGTTTGTCAACCTCGGCTTCGCCTCGGCCAACAATTACATGTGGTCTAAGACTTTTCTTATTTTACTGGCCTAGGTATGTAATATACTATTTCATTGAAAGAAAAAGTGCCACTAATAAGAGTTAAAGGTGCCCGGCTGCCCAATTTTAAAACACAGTAACTGCAAAATTTTTATATCAGATTTTTTTTTAGTATTGCTGCATTTATTATAACTTTTAGATCTTATTTTTAAGTATTTTTTCTTAAAAATATTTACATTCAAGTATTTTCTATTCGTAAAACAAATTTTTTACCAATTAGACGCGCAAACTTTTTTTTAATAAGATAAATTTCAAAAAATCTTAAAATTGTCAGTTATTGTGTTTTGAAATTGAGCAGCCGTGCCACTTATGGGGTTTTTTACCTTATGGAAGTCATATTAAAAATTTAAAGGTCAAATAGTTGAATAACTATTTTTAAATAAATATTTTCATCCATTGAATCTCATTTAATCAATGTTAAAAATGAACTGTTTTTATCGTCTGCTGTAAAATTTTCTAAATATTGGATCTGACGTATTAGAATGGCAGTATCGATATCTAAAAGAAAACTAAAAAAAAAACTTACTTCTTCGTACCCTGTTAATGTTTCTATGCTAGGATTTGACTCAGTTCTCCAATTTTTCTGAGTCACTACATCGCTGAAATTTATAAAAAAATGAATAAATTTATTCATAAAACATTTCGGCTGCCCAATTTTAAAACACAGTAACTGCAAAATTTTTATACCTGATCTTTTTTAGTATTACTGGATTTCTTATAACTTTTAGATCTTAATTTAAAGTATTTTTTTATAAAAATATTTATATTCAAGTATTTTCTATTCATAAATCAAATTTTTTATCGATTAGGCGCACAAATTTTTTTTTAACAAGAAAAATTTTTTAAAATCTTAAAATTGTCAGTTACTGTATTTTGAAATTGGGCCGCCGATTTATATATAATAATTGATTAAATCAATAGTTTACCTGTCGTCGTAGAAAGATTTAGCACTTTCAGGACAACTAGAAGCAATGTCAGACCTAGTTTGAGCTCGTTGACACGAGTTCGCAGTGTTAACCAGCGACACAACGGAACTAGACAGTGTCTCACTACTATTAATATCACCCACAGAACCATTGACACTCTTTTTATCATTCAAGTACGTCAAAGTCTCTTGACTTCTCTCATTTTCAGTCTTCTCTAACGCCGAGCTTGAACTCTCACTCGACATTGCACTATTAGAATGTTCGTCGTCAGCACGCCGATACTGCTGATAATTATGCTGATGACTCAGACTATTTTTAACAGATCGCATTAAAGTAGCCTCGAGCACCTCGACCAGCGAGGGATACTCTCCGCCATTAACTTTATCACCAGGATTATTGCTGCGTCTATCAACGTCTGTCGTCGAGCTACTCAAAGCCATTTCACAGCTGCTGATAGAATTCGAGCTTCTCTGCCTAGAATTTGAGTCATCGTACTTTGGATTGCAACATATAGACGTGGGTATCGTTATCTCGATATCAGTTTCAATAGTCCCAGGCGTCGATAAAGATTCTTTATTAAACCTTCTGCCTTTCTCACCCATGTAAACATTCTCCTCGCTGCTGTTACTCAGCCTGTCGCGAAACAGCGATATCGTTTTGTCATCAATAGCACTTTCTTCTGATTTACAAATCCGCTTGGTTTCCGTACCCAGCACCAGAGCAGCCGACGGTTTATCTAATCCTTGGTCCAAAGACGAACCCAGAGTTGTTTTAGAATTTTTCAACTGGCTCATGGTCCTCATTGGTCGATGCAGCTTCAATTCTTTGTCAATAATTATTTTTTGAAACGGCGGAGTCAGTGATATATTATGTTGCTTACCATTACTATTGTCAGTGTCTAATGATGAGCCTGAGAAAGTTCTCTTGGAATTATCCAGCGACTGACTCGGCTTTAAATTCATCAGTGAAGCTAAATTAGACAGTGTAGTGCGTAGATCAGAGGTAGGAAGACCACAGTACCATCTTAGTTGAGCAATATTTTTGTTCAACAAATAAACTCCATAATTAAATTGAACTTTGTCTTTACTTCTCGCGAACAAAGGCGATCGCCGATCTTTTGATGGATAATTCTCGGTAATATGATCTAGTATTCTGCTGCGCGAACCGCTGTAAATAATTGGATACCTTGTGGGAACATTGAGTATGTTGGCGATGATCTGAGTAGCATGACAAACGTAACCAAGCGCCACAGCCGTCTGAGTATCGTTTACAGTATCCAATTCTTCACTATCTGGTAAATGTACATTACTAATCGTAAACTTATGCTCCGACTCTTGTCTTATTGGATAAATGAAATTTAAATCAGATATAAGTTGACGTTTACGGTATGCTAGCTGGGCTGATGTCTGAACAAAACATTCGCGCATCTGTATGTGATTTTGCTTCCATTCACGCAGCCGTTCCATGTCTTTATGGAGCTCACGATAACGCTCCATCAGCAGAGAGCCCAGATCTTGATTCTCTTCCATAATACTCAGATGTCGCTGGTTGAGCGCTCTCAGCTCTCCAGCCTTTCTAATTCTCTCTTGTTCTAATAATTTTGTTCTAAATTTGGCAATCTCCAACTCCTTACGGATCTTAAGAATTTCGGCCTTCTTTTCCTTGCTCATTCGCTTTGGTTGAAGCAGCCGGCTCAACGTCGTCTGCTTGAACTTGGGCTCCAGGCTCTCTCCAGAAGCTATTCTGTCACGCAAAGTTTGAGCACTTTCAGTTCGCTGCTTCAGCGACTGCATCAAACTTCGTAGATTACTCAGCTTGCCTACAGTGTAGCTGTCACAAATCTCCGAGTTATTGACACTCATGTACAAATATCTACGAAATTCCGGTGGATGAAGAAGGCAGTAAGATGGTACAAAAAATCCACCGTACAGGTGGAAGATTAGTGAATTGTGTCTTAACATTGATTCTAAATTGTTAGAGAGCTTAGGTCCCATATAAACTAAACCTGTGAATGATATTCCCCAGGTGAATACTGTAACGTCGGTTGTCGGATCATTGGCTACTGTTCTTCTCCACAGCCGTAAAACTATTTCTATTTTTTTTTAAATAAATTAAAATTAATATATTACTATACGTGTATAAAAAAATTTTTGAATAATAGATATTTAAACAGGACAAATTTTTTTTTATATTGAAAGTTAAATTTAAATTTAATAATTTATGACATTTATAGATGATTAATTTTTAAATTCAAATAGAAGTTAATTTTATTTATAAAATCTAGTATATTCATCTTGTTTTTATAATCCAACTAAATTTCATTTCATAATAAATTTTAATTAACAACCTTGACATATGTTAATATAGTAGCGTATGGTTTCGTCCGAAATACTTTATACAGTAAATATGATTATGCAGTACATGATAATTTTTTTTAAAATTTAATTTGAATGACAAGAATAATTCTTGTAAAAATTAACGTCAATCCTGTTCTTAATTTTCAAGTAAAGCCAAGTTTAAGTTACCGTATGGACTCTCTAAAATATCTATTATTAAAAATAATTAACTTCATAATTAATAAATAAATACCATTGGCAGTAGAGAGACCAGTAGCATGTAAAGTAGGCACTTCTAAAGATGACCATTTCGGACTAACATGGTCAATTGGTTCACTAGTATACAAAGGTGAAGACATACTCGAACGATGTAATGTAAAATAGAACCAGCATGTTTCAAAACTTTTATCTGTCTCTAAATTGTAGCCAATTATTTGATAAAGGCTTCTCAGCCGTAGCTGCAATCATACACACATTAGTCATCAACGTTGCTAATAAATAAACAAACAAAAAAAAATGAAATAAGTGACGTATTAAATTACCTGTTGAGTAGCCAGAGGCAGCCAAACTTTGTAACGTGGTGCCGGGCGAGGTTGAAGAGTTAAATCCAAGTCTCTTACGAGACCTTGTTTCGCTTTCATCTCCATCGTCCTCTTCACTCATGGCATCACGCAATTACTGAGACTATCGTCCGAGGTGACAAATCCTCGTACACTCTGTCGCAGTCGCTCTTGAATTTGAACTGCACCAACAATGGTTGCTGATACAATTGAAACTATAATTACAACAACAATAACAATAGGTACTAATTTTTAAGTTCAAACAACTGTGACAAATAATGGATAATTCCTTATTGTAAAGGTTATCCAGATTACAAGTGTTTGTCATTGATCACCAATTGACATTCAATATCACGGTTACAAATTCAATCGTGTGTTTTTGTTCACGCCCCTGTTCTGTTAATTATGATTTATGCTCCATAATATTATTATTATTACTATTACTACACAATGAGTACTGTTATCAATATTTATGACTGTCAGCACCAGTACACCAACTGATCCTCTGACAAGTAAATTTAATATCAAGAATTGACAGCTCCTTTTTCCACGGGCTCAATGTATTTATTAAGACATGTACTTTACTTGACATTTACATTTTACATATATTTTCTCTGATTTGTTAATTCGCTAATAAAATAGAAAGTAATTTTATTTGTCAGTAAATTATTTTTTTTGCAGACAGATGGCGCTAGTCTTATCTTCGAATTTTTAAATCTGTCGTACCATTGGGTATTGATTTTTAAAAATTAATTATTGGCGCCACGTAACGATGAATTATTTCAACTTTCTCGTCAGCTGACGACTGAAAACAGAATAGTAAATTTATTCTGTTTCTGTTTTAATTTAACAGTTTATACATCACCTTCATTTAATAAACTCTTGTATATTTACATATATACAAACAACATATAAAAGCACACACACATACATTTTACAGAGATAAAATGTCTAATTAAGTGTTTTTTAATAAAAAAATGCTTTGTTGTATTGATAAATAATTGACTGATTTAACTTTAAATAATTACTCTTTGTTACTTGTACAGTTTTAAAATAAAATATTAATAATGGCTATGAAAATATTGCTGCGGTTGGAAATTAGAAAATTATCTGGAGCTCAAGTAAGTTTAATTCTAATTTAATTATTTTTTTTTTATCTTAATTAGAATTAAAATTTTTATTAATTCTATTTTACAAAAATGTCACCTAATACACGTGGTAATTTTTTTTAGGTAAAAAAATTTAACAATTATTTTCTATGAAAAAATTATAAGACAAAAATTTTAATTTTTTATGTCAGAACTGTTGTTTTATTTATTTATCTTAACTCATGTCAAAAATATTTATTTTTACTGTCTTGGTAGAAAGCGGGTCAAGGTTAATACAAAAATACTTTCACCTTGTCTAATAGTTGCCACGTGCGATTAGTTAATGATTGATACAAATAAAAAAATTAAATAAATTTCAAGCCAAGTATAATTAATCAATAACAATTAATTTTAATTAATTGTTATTTTTTAATTTTAATTTTAATTAAAAAATTATTAAATTAAATTTATTTTTATTTTTGTTTATTCAGCATTTTAGTACAAAGCCGAAACCGAAGTTCGGTTTGATATTCGACATAGACGGTGTCATAGTCCGTGGTAAAAGTGTGCTGCCACCAGTACCAGAGGCTTTCAAGCGCTTGAAAGATAGCAATGGAAAATTCCGAATCCCTACGATATTTGTAACAAACAGCGGGAACGCACTGCGGTCTGAAAAAGCTGCTGATCTGTCGAAATGGATCGGCTACGAAATAACCGAAGACCAAGTGGTGCTGGCTCACTCACCTCTTACTTTGTTCAAGCAGTTTCACGATAAGCGAGTTCTCATTTCCGGACAGGGTCCTATAAAAGAAATTGCCAAGGAGTTAGGATTCCATAAAACAGTTACGATTGACGAGTTAGTTAAGAATTTTCCGAGTTTAGATTACGTTAATAAGGACCGTAGAAATCCTACATGCGGGCCAGTAGATCGTAACTTTAAGCCGATCGAAGGAATTGTTTTGCTGAGCGAGCCGACAACTTGGGAAACACCATTGCAATTGATGGTTGATCTATTGATGACTCAAGGAATGCCCTCTGCACTGCCATCGGTAGTTCCTCATCCTCATATTCCCGTGCTCGCTTGCAATATGGACTTACTTTGGGTCTCAGAAGCTCCGATTCCTCGTTATGGACATGGAGCTTTTTTGGTTTGTCTTGAGTCTTTGTATAAAAAAGTTACTGGCAACGATTTAATTTACACTGCACTTATTGGTAAACCTAGCGAAGTTACTTATTATCATGCTAATCATATGATTATGAATCATGCTAAGAAAATTGGAATCGATCATAATATTGACACTATATATGCTGTTGGGTAAGTTGTTTAATTTTTATAAGCATAATTTATAATTAAAACTCAAGTTATAAAAATCTTTTGATTTAAAAATTTTAATTTTAAAATGTTGAATGTAATTTTAAAACAAGTTTAAATATTTATCATATATATTATTAAAAGAATAAGAAAAATTTTGTGGCCAGTGTATTTATATGATAAAATGAGTTCTTATGGTTAAATTTGGTATCGTTGGAAAAGGCTTGACCTGGAGTTGTGCCTTTTCATGGTTCCATATCATTCTCACCAATAGTCAATTTATGATGATAAGTATTTAAGCTGCATTCGAAAATTTTCTATCTCTAGATACATAATTAAGAAATTACCTTATATCTTGGATAAGATAATCAAGACCTTTCATTTGAGTACCCACATCAATTTTTCATATATTTTATATATTTATATATACTATATATATATATATATATATGAAAAATATATCAAAAATGCATGTGGGTACTCAAATGAAAGCTCTTGATGAGTGTAACATCGGGATGAGCTTATATTACTAAAAATGTCAATAATTAAGAAATGCATGGTTCCATATCATTCTCACCAATAGTCAATTATGATGATAAGTATTAAGTCTGCATTCGAAAATTTTACTATCTCTAGATACATAATTAAGAAATTACCTTATATCTTGGATAAGATAATCAAGACCTTTCATTTGAGTACCCACATCAATTTTCTATATATTTATATATTTATATATACTATATATATATATATATATATGAAAAATATATCAAAAATGCATGTGGGTACTCAAATGAAAGCTCTTGATGAGTGTAACATCGGGATGAGCTTATATCTTTAAAAATATCAATAATTAAGAAATGACCTTGTATCTTGGGAACTATTGACATTTTTAAAGATATAAGCTCATCCCGATGTTACACTCATCGAGACCTTTCATTTGAGTACCCACATCATTTTTTCATATATTTATATATATCATATATATATATATATATGTATATATGAAAAATATATCAAAATACATGTGGGTACTCAAATGAAAGCTCTTGATGAGTGTAACATCGGAATGAGCTTATATTTTTAAAAACGTCAATAATTAAAAAAGTACAGTGCAATTTAACAAAGTCATTATTTGATGAAGCAAAATTTTATTTATTTATAGTTCACAAGTCGCGGCAGTCACATAGTGACTGCAAGGTCGTTAGTATTTTATTATCTTGTTATGCAAAGAAGTATATTAAAAATTGAGACTAGTTTATCGAGTCATTTATACCATAAAATAATTTATTGTTTCAGTGACAATATAAATACTGACGTATTTGGTGCTAATTTGTATGACAAATACTTGGCAAGATATTCAAAAGGAAAAGCAACAAAGTCTCGTGGCCTAGAATCGTTGCTCGGAACAAATTTAGTGTCACCAAATGTAAAAGCATGCATCAGTATTCTAGTTGAGACTGGAGTCCATAGAAGGGATTCTGAATTTATCGCTGAGCATTGTCCGCGGGACTTTTTGCCACTTGAGAGTGGACTAGCACGTCCAGCTTTCGTTGTCAAAGACGTCGGCGAGGCCATTGATCTCGTGTTGAAAGAAGAAAAAATGGATCAAGATTAATTTTAAAAGCAGCAATTTGTATAATATTTCAACAAAGAATTTTTTAGAATCAAATGTTTACAATGATATTCTATTTTTTTTTTAATAGTTTTTTTTTTTTTAATCGAATTCGAGTGTTCAAAAAGTACAAACTTTTGTACACTGTTTATCAGACATCGAATCGACAGGTGCAAATATACATGTTTACTAGGGCTTATTGAAATTTATGAAAATTGTAAATACAATTGTTTTTAAACAATAATTAATGAATGTTTAGTAAAAATAATCGTTGATTATAATTGAGTAGTCAATTATAAGAAAATAATCAACGTCCAATTAGTCACATAAAGTAGAATTGTGTGTAAACAATTAAAAAGGAAAAAAAATGTCGAAGTAACTACGCTTTAGTAGTATGTCTTTCCATTAGATTTTTTTTTTCGCAATTAAAATGCGAGTTTATTTAAATTACAAACGGACAACTATACATTATATACAGAATACATATATTTTTTATAAAAAAAAAAAAAAAAAAAAGTAATAAATAATAATAATCATTAAAGTTGTAAAATATTTTTAGTAGACTGTACATAATTGACGGGATGTAGAGCATCCCTTGTCTTGCCGTAAACAATTAGGATACCTCATTGTTATATTAACGAACAAACTGTTTTCATTAATTCATTAGAGAGTCAGCACAAGCAAATGTAAATGAAAACGAAAAAAAATTAAACAAATCAAAAATAATATCAAACTCGCTAAATATATTTTTTTGTATTTCTTAAGTCCCTTGTCAATGTTATCTAAAAATAGACGAAAAAAAAAAAAATACAATTCAAAGCCGCGTAGTTAATTGTAGCTAGAATAGAGGTAATGTCTGGATCTCATGACCCATAGGTTAGGCTTTAAATTGTCTAATTAAAATAATTTTATAATAATTGATTCGTGAACAGTCTGCAATTTAAATGGCGCCGAATTGACCACAAGGTTTACGACCCTGAACCTCTGTCTTTAATCAGTACTCAGATGCGTTATTTAAACTTAGTCATTCATTCACTCAATAGCTTTATCTACCATCCAATCCACAGACTATTAAAATAAAATACATCCACAAATAATAATAAGTAGAACACAATAGTTTGCAAAATCATAACAAAAAAAAAATTGTCTGAAGTATGATCTTGATCTGTAATTCTGTAATCACAATTAACGATAATCACTTTATTGCAACTATGTAATCTGTAGCATGGATATTTTGTATGAGGTACTTGCTAGTAGCGAAATCCATTGAATGTGATGAGAGAAGAAATTAAGATACTAATACAAATTGCACTTAAAAGTCACAATAAATAAATAATAAATTAGTTAATTAATAAATATGTAAAAAAAAAAAAACTACCAACAATTACTTTTGTCACTTAATTTATTACTCTCGTAGCACTTGACAGCTTTGCGTACTCTCTCCGCAAGCTCATTTATCTTTTCTTCAGTTAAATAATCCCCGTAATTATTCGAGGATCTACCAAAAGAGCGCTTAGGCACTATCGCTGACAGCATAAGCGTAATTGCGGGTATAGAGAGCCCAAGAAGAAACATTGGATTCATCATATTTTTCATTCCATGTTTCATAAAACTTTGGAATAATTCACCCCAAAAACTTGTTTCTTCCGGTTGGCGACCTAGCTTACCGTAAAGCCAGGGTTTTATTTTCCCCGTTTTAGCAATGTAGTTGTAATAATGCGGGTCATAGGACTGCGAATACAGCTGAGAGTAATAAACATTTTCTTTGGGCGGAGGTGGATGACTTAGAGCTGAAAAATGAGCACTTGCATCTTCATAAGGAAGATTATTTACTGGTCCTGGTGGATACCCGAGACTAGCTCCGGGTGGTTTTGTATAAATTATTTCTGGTTTAGAAGCATAAGGCACCGGACCTGGTCCTACCAGTCCAGAGTTTAATCCTATTGGACCAGGACCTAGACCCATAGGACCTGGACCTAATCCAACTGGTACCGGTGGAGGACCTAGTCCTGGTCCTTTTCCTACATAGCCATGGCTAAGACGTGGTTGTATACGCTGCCGATATCTACCCATTCCTCCGCGGTAGTAAGGCCGACGTCTTTGAATATAATCATGCCGATTTTGCAGCGCTGGTTGATGCCACAACGGATATGTTTGGTAGACTTGAGGGTCTGGTTGTACATCGGTAATTGCAGCCATTGTCACTGGCTGGAAATTAGATACAGTATTATCCACTTGTCCGGTGTTTAATTGCTGATCAACGGCGACTAAGGATGATGATGATGATGCCGCTGAAGCTGATGGCAAAACTTCGTAAAATTTAACGTTGGTGTTGGTGTTATCAACATTAACATTAACGGGACGGACTTCTTGTGCATCAACTTGTGACGAAGTTAATTGCAAGTAATTATCCAAAGCAAACTGAGATTCCGCGGGAGTTCGCGAATTTAAAAAAGTATTAAGCGCTTCATTGGAGATGACTGATGAGGATGACCCAATCTGTCTGGCCGTGACTTGGACTTTATTGAAATTTCTACTTTGATCGGGCGGATATTGTCGCGCTTTCATTTGCATACTAGCCGTAAAATTGTGTACTTTGATTGACGGGTTTACAGGCGACACTTGAAGCTTCAATGTACCTGCGGGGCTTGGATTTAAATTACTAGCCGCTTTTGGTAATTGATCGTCATTTTTGTCACTAGATCCCGGTTTAATTAAAATACTTGATGTGTTTTTGGTATTATTATAAGCATGAATGCCTGTCGTGACATTTATGTCTGCTGTATTGTTATTTAATTGTTTTATTAATTTTCTCCTGTCATAATTTGCATGGTAATGTGTCTCATCAGCGGTATACTCCGTGTTTTCAGTTAATGGATTCCCTTCGTAATTTAATTGTCCTTGACAAACGCCGATCCAAAAAATCAAGTAAATTATCCTTCGCATTGTACCTGAAATATAAAATACATACGGTAATTTTATAATTAATCTAATAATATTAATATTAATTAAAGAGTATATTATTTCAAAGCCATTATTCCCGATCCAAATTGATGTTAGACTAATTTTAATATTAAATTTTTATTTATTAAATTTATTTTCACCACTTTTCGGTATGAGCACTCATTACCATCTTCGGGTGATTATATCTAATGATTAAAAATTTTAATTTTTAATTAAGATTTTTCAGTAACCAAAAAAAAATTTACTGAGTAAAAAAAAAAAAAAATTAACTTCTTTGTTTAATCTTAATTAAAAATTATCTCTCTATCTCTAGATAAATAATTAAGAAATAACCTTGTATCTTGGGAACTATTGACATTTTTAAAGATATAAGCTCATCCCGATGTTACACTCATCGAGACCTTTCATTTGAGTACCCACATCATTTTTTCATATATTTATATATATCATCATATATATGTCTATATGAAAAATATATCAAAATGCATGTGGGTACTCAAATGAAAGGACTCGATGAGTGTAACATCGGGATGAGCTTATATCTTTAAAAACGTCAATAATTAAGAAATTACATTGCAACTTGTCAACTAATGATATTTTTAAAGATATAAGCTCATTTTGACATTACACTCATCGAGACCTTTCATTTGAGTACCTACATCAATTTTTCATGTATATTACATATATATATGTATATATGAAAAATATATCAAAATCCATGTGGGTACTCAAATGAAAGCTCTTGATTAAAATCTTAATTAAAAATTAAAATTTTTAATTATTAGATATAATCACCCGAAGATGGTAATGAGTGCTCATACCGAAAAGTAGTGAAAATAAATTTAATAAATAAAAATTTAATATTAAAATTAGTCTAACATTAATTTGGATCGGGAATAATGGCTTTGAAATAATATACTCTTTAATTAGTAAAAATACACCGATCTTCGTAAATAATAATATTAATATTAATAATAATTATTAAATTAATTAATCATCTCTGTTGAGAATCAGATCGAGACCAAAAATATTATTTTAATGAACGAAAAAAACTTTTTTTTTTTATAAGTAAGAAAAAAAATTAATGTTTATTTTTTGCTTTTCAATTCTACTAAACTTGCAGTATTTTCTATTCAACCCATTTACGCTTAGATTTTAAGATTTGCTTGAAAAAATTTATACAATATTATAACCGAACTGTAACGGCAGTGTTAGCGCTAAAATTATTCGTTATAATCATTACCGCAGTGAGACTTTGAGCATTGAGTTCATTACGGTAAATTATTTATGTTTTTAAGTCAAAAATACTTATTTGCAAATTACAAACAAACTAATCTTCAATCTATCTCACGACTTTAACATAACAATTTATTTGATTAGCTTTTATTTTCTTTACTGTAACTCTAACAAATGTTTAATTATTTTACCGCTAAATCTTTGTGAGTGACAAAACAATAATCATAACATATAATGATATACAAAAAGCACGTAATTAAATAAATAAATAAATAAAAACAAAAGCAGCAATGAAATCCCGTTATCGTGTGACTAAAGCGCGCACATTTGGCATGACAAGTATACGTAACATTTAATCTACCTATTATAAGTACCTATATGTCCTCATACTTTTTTAGAGGCCTAGAAATATTAAACCAATGACCCAGAGCTAAAGCGAACTTGAGCGACCTGTAAGAAGACGTCGCCCAGTCAATGACTTTCTAAAACCGTTATATTTAATCATCAGGTATGTACACAAAAAACCTAATACAATTATTATTCGGAAAATCTATTCTTTATTAATTTATAACTTTTTTTATAGATTCTCATCCATGTTTTACAAAATATTAGACAACATTCTATTATAATATATGGCTGCCCAATTTCAAAACACAGTAACTAACATTTAAAAATTTTTTTTAATTTTTCTTATTAAACAAAAGTTAGTTTGCCAAATTGATGAAAAATTTAATTTATTAATAGAAAATACTTGAATATAAATATTTAAGAAAAAAATACTTTAAATTAAGGTCTAAAAATTATAAAAAAAATGCAGCAATATTAAAAAAAATTAGGTATAAAAATTTTGCAGTTACTGTGTTTTAAAATTGGGCAGCCGTATAATTCTAATATAATATTATTCTGCAGAGAAAAAAAAATTAACTTGATTCAAGAGAAAAATTCTTGAACCAAGAATATAATTTTGAAGAGGGTAATTGTCTTGAATCAAGACAAAAAATTCTTGAATTAAGTAAAATTTCCTTAAATCAAGAAAAATTTCCTAAATCAAAAATTTTTCTACTCAAACCAAGAAAATTAAGCTCTTCAAAAATATATACTTAATTCAAGAACATTTTTTTTTCTGAGTGTATAAATAATTTTTTGTTAAGTATGTCTTATGTAATTGTTTATAATTGTATCCTTACAGTATGCCCGAAGAAGTTGGAAATAAAGCCAACGAAATTTTGCATTTTTTTAAAATTTAATATCTTATTGTTGTTGTCAACGTTCCCAAGATTTGTTGTCTAATATTTTATAACTTATTTTCACAAAATAAAATAAATTTAGCAGGTTGAAGTAAATATGATGTCATTAGGTCATTACTTTGGATAGTTGGAGCAGTTTCTCAAATGTCTACCCGTGTCAGAGTGTCGAGAAGAGCACGTGAATCAGATATTGAGTATCAATCAATAACAGCGACTAAACGTGGATTGTTTAATGTAATCGCGTAATAAATCAGTAATCAAGTGAGCATGAGCGTGTATGAACTAGATGTCCGCTCGTAATTCGTCCTATCAGGGCATCACGGACGAGCGAATGATCACCATCACCATTACCATCACCATCACACTTACCGTACTGTTAAATTATCGCAAACGTCAGCTCTTCAATAAACTAAATCTAATCAATCACGCACGTTTGATGAGACACTTGGATGCTCCGTTTACTTAACTTCCACACAATCAATCCCAGTTGTTTCTACTTCAGTAGAAATACTTTATTATTCCTGATTATTGATATTGATGAGATTTGTCCTGCAAGTATAAGTATGACGTATTAGTTGTTATTCAATGAATCAATCAATCAATCAATCAATTTGTTTGCAGATTATATTACGCGAATTAATCTTTGAGTAAAACGAACGAGTTTGCGAGAACACGTCCATCGGGGAGAGAGATGTCTGAAACACTGATGGGATGGATCATGTTCCGGAATGATGAGAAAGGCGTACACGTTTTATTACGTTATTCTTGATATATACTTATACTTATATACACTACCTTATGAACTCCCTACTTTTATTCAACTTGTTATTCTCTGATTCAACATTCAACTCTGTATTAGCGCTTTATCTTCTGCTTGACACACGCGGTACAAACCACCGACAATGCCAGTTCTCCTTGATCACCTCAAACTCTTCTCCTACTATTCCCATCGTAACGTCGGTCACCGTGTCTTTCTTATTAGTTCAGCTTACATGATGCTTACCTACATAAAAAAAAAAAAAAAACATACACACATTAATAATACCGGACTTTATTTATACTCTTGGTCACTTTCGAATTACCCGAATAATTTTGTTGAAGAAAGTTTTTTCTTTAGGTCAAGTGTATCAACACCGCGTTTTCTTTTATTTAATTGGGTTTTTAATTCTTCTTCCTGTTCCTCTAAATTTTTTTTTTATATAGAGTAAGGAAACTAGACGGTTTAATTTAAGAATAAGAATAGGAAGTACAGATTACAGATTTAAAGGATTAAAAATGAGATATACACAGACGCGTGCCGTTCGCAGTTTTTACCGTTAGTCTTCCTCTTTAGCTCAACTTGCTTTTTAAATATTTCTTTTAGAACGCGTGTGTCTACGACACACAAACTGGGTAATTGCAGCATGACCGCAATTATCGAGGCGTTAAAATGCTCATAAAAAAAAAGTTAAAAGGTTTTTGGATAATGAAATTCATAATTGTTTCATTACTTAAGTGGATTTTATTAAATCTTTTATGATTTTTTAATAGCAATAATAAAAGATTTATCCGAATTCATTTAGAGGCAATTTAAGCTTTAATCCATGGTATTAAATAATAATTGATGATATTATAATAAAACGAGTTCCGATCTGAATTTCATAACAAAAAAATTTTTTTTTATCAAGAATTTTTTTCTAGTTTGAAGAAATTTTACATTACAACCTTAGAATTTGGTAATTATTTACAAGTGGGGTGGTCCATCCTATTTTTGGCCATATCTAGGTGAAAAATTAATATTTTTTAATTTTTTTTTTATTCTGCTTGTTTTCAAGGCGCATTTATGATAAAAAATGTCGTGAAAGAAAAAAATAATGATTTCGATAGCTTTTTTGCCTTCAAAAGTTAGAAAAAATTTTGGTTCTCATGTTTTTGGATAAAATTTCTATTTAATTTTTTTTTTGAAAATAAATAAAAAAAAAAAAAGTTGAATATCACAATTTTAAAAAAAATTTATAAATTTTTTTTTAAATTTGTAAAATTGTGATAATCAAATTTTTTTTTTAATTGTTCATTTTTTTATGTATTTAAAAAAAAATATATCAATAAAATCGAATAGAAATTTTGTTCAAAAAAATGAAAATTAAAATGGTGAACCCCACTTATAAATAATTACCTTAAATTTTACAGGTATAATTTTGTTTTAAATTTAAATTCTATTTATTAAAATCATTTTTCAAAAAAAAAAAAATAATGAACGTGTAAATAAATAAAATTTAGAACGAACAAAGCTTATTGATGGTTGAGAAGAAACGCCCACGGTTTTTAGTCGGCTTTAAATTGTAACGTGTGATCACCGTGACAATGAATGTTATATAATTACTTTAGATTATGTCTAATAAATGATCTTGGAACAGGGTTTGAAATGCTCTGAAACTCTTGTACGTTCAGTCTACATTTGGTTATCGAGCCCTGTGCTATAACGATGGAGAGCCCGCGCGAATCGCCGACTTCCACGTGGAGAACTTATCGCGATTCGGTAGTTAATTTTAAATTCAACTATGACCAAATATTTTACCGGTAATTTAATCTGAAAATAATATAATAAACAGTTAATTTTTATAACCACGACAGTTAGCTAATTATTGTTTAATTTAATATTTATGGAAAGACAGTTAAAATAAAGGAAATAAGTTTTTTTTTATTTTCAGAATAGGCTTGAGCATAGGAAATAAACCTTGGGTTTGGTTAATAACTTCCTTGTGTATAAGTGGAGTTTGCGGTCCCGGATTGTCGTTCTGGCGTGAAGAAATCGATGAAGTTAAATCCTTCATTCCTGTGGACTCCATAGTACGGAAAGATGCTGCCTGGGTCAAGGAACACTTCAACGAGGACCTTAGATACGAAAGTATTATTATTACTGCTCCAAATGTTTTAGACCCTCAAGTTCTTCAAGCGGTAATTTTTTTTTCTTTTTTTCAATAGCGAAGCTAACTTTTGGCTGAAAAAAAAAAAAAAAATAAAATAAATAATTAATTTATTACTGTAGATCGATGAAATTGAAATGAGTGTAAAGAGCATTGTTGTCCAAAATCAAACGTGGCATGATGTATGTGCAGAGTAAGAATCTAATGTATTTATTTTTATAAATTTTATAGCAGAATAATTAAATTTTAATTAATTAGATATCTTACCTGGTTTGAAAATGGAGATACAAAATCAGAAAATGAAACAGATGAACTTTTAATTGAAGCATTCCAACCTTTGAAAGCTGTTCTGTCAGGCGATAGTTGTATTTACCAATCGATATTAAAAGTTTGGAAAAAAAATGAAAGTGAAGTCTTGGGTCAGTTGACAAAAGATAAAATTCTTGAAGATGTGACTGCTGCTTTACGTGAAACGTAATTATAATTATTATAAATTATAAGTAATATAATTATACACTGAGGGAAAAAAATATTTTAGCGTGAGAATATTTCTCGTTCGAGAACTTGTTTTTAGATGAAAGATGAAAAATATTAATTATTAATTTTCTCTTTATTTTATTTTTATTTACTTAAGCCCGTAAATTTAATTAAAGAGTTAATTTTAATAAAGAAGATATATTTTTTTCTCAGTGTGATGGATAAAAAAATAATTTAATAATATTGATTAAAAAAATGTAATATTTCAGAGATAAAGGTAATATCCTAACGGATATATCACCATTGCTATCAAAAGTAGAGTACGACGAGAACGGGCGAGTAATTGGAGCAAAAGCAACAATTTTAAATTGGATTTTAAAAAAGTCAAACATACATTCTCCAGAATGGGAGCTGGAGTTCATTTCAAGAACTTTATATTCAAATCGCACGTTGCCGGCAGGCATGAAAATTTATGCTGTTGCAAAAAGAAGTTTTATCGATTGTTTAAACGATGTTATGAGAAATAACATAAGTATACTGTGCTGCGGTTTGTTTATTATTGTTGGGTACGTTGTAATAATGATAGGAAAATGTAATCCCGTAGAGCAGCGAATTTATCTGTCATTGCTGGGAGTATCGGTAGTGGGTCAAGCCATTTTATCGGGTTTCGGTGTTTGTTTTTACTTAGGATATATGTACGGACCAATACACTCAGTTCTGCCATTTGTGTTGCTGGGTATAGGTGTCGATGACATGTTTGTCATTATTCAAAGTCTCGACAGCTTAACTGAGAGCGAAAAAAATTTAACAATACCCGAACGTATTGCTCGAGCACTCCAGCAATCCGGTATGTCGATAACCACAACGTCATTGACAAATATAATAGCATTTGCCATTGGAATGACCACAGTTATGCCGTTTTTATCATCATTTTGTATGTTTGCCACAATGGGAATTTTATTCCTTTTTATATTTGAGATAATGTTTTTTGTCAGTTGCCTTGTGTTGGATGAAAGACGTTTAGCTATGACCAGAGACGGATGTTTCTGTCAATCTAAAACCGATTGGAAGCCCAATGAATGCAGCCAGAAGAATTTGCAGAAAATAATATTTGAAAAATTTATCGGACCCTTCGTTATGAGACCTAAAATAAAAATTTTTATTATTTTAATAACTATTGTTATGATTATTATAAATACCTGGGGTATTCACAATCTAGGACAACACTATGATCCATTATTGTACTTAAATCAAGAGTCTTATGCGCTTAAATTTAATAATAAACTTATTGAGTATTTTCCTAAGTACGGCAAGAGGGCTAGTATTTATTTAGCTGGAGTTGATTACTACGAGGACCGTGAAGCGCTTGGTAAATTAATTAACGTACTTGCTAAAAATCGATTTATCAATAACAAAACCCTGGATCCATGGTTCATTGCTTACGGCGAATGGCTAAATAATAAAACACATGGTTAATTTTTTTAATTAAATTATATTTTAATATTACTTAGTTATATAGTTTAATTAAATAATTTGTTAATTATTATTTTGATGCAGAAATTGACAGAGATGAATTTTACGGGTCATTATCGGAGTATTTATTAACGAGAAAAGGACAGTCTTATGTTAAAGATATGAAATTTAGCAGATTGCCAACAGTTGATTATAATATTACGGTAAAAATTTAATTTATAAATTATTTATTGAGAAATTTGGTTATTCATAATAATAGTAAATAGGTTAATGATTTTTTAATATTATTACTTTTTTTAAAGACTTCGAAATTCCAAATTCAACATATTCATATTAATACAACGGTTGAACAGTTACAAGCAATGCGGTCTATACGTGAGACCATTAAATCTGTTGATTTCACGCGAGGCATCGAACACGCTGCAATATTTTCACAGGAATATGTTTCTTGGACTGCAAACAAGGTAAAAAAAAATCTGACAATTAACTGAACCTACTAGTCTTGTAGCCTATTTTCACTTAAATTTATCTTAAAGCCTAAAATTTACGACCTTAAATCATTAATTTTAATACTTATAAAAAAAATACTAGCGGACCCGACAGACGCTGTTCTGTACACACGTCTTAAATTTAGAAATTTTAGAAATGAGCTTGTATAGTTAAAAACATCATTAGCAGAGCCTGGAAGTTGGGGCAAATTAACATATAAAACAAAAGAGAGCGAAACGATATTTTGCCCCAACTTCCAGAGCCTGATCATTAGTTAACAATATGCAATGGGCATTCCTCAATAATAAACATTTTCGTAAATATAAGCTCATTCTGATTTTATACTTATCGAGAGCTTTCATTTGAGTGATTTTTGTTAAATTGGACTGTACTTTCCTGAATATTGACGTTTTTAAAGATATAAGCTCATCCCGATGTTACACTCATCAATAGCTTTCATTTGAGTACCTACATCAATTTTTTATATATTTATATATATTATATATATGTATATATGAAAAATATATCAAAAATGCATGTGGGTACTCAAATGAAAGGACTCGATGAGTGTAACATCGGGATGAGCTTATATCTTTAAAAACTTCAATAATTAAGAAATGACATTGTATCTTGTCAACTAATAATATTTTTAAAGATATCAGCTCATCTCGACATTATACTCGTCGAGATCTTTCATTTGAGTACCCACATGAATTTTTTTATTTATCTTATATATATGATATTTATAAAATATATGAAAAGTGCATGTGGGTGTACTCAAGGTCAACAACAATTTATAAATAACTAATCTATTAAATAAACATTTTCCCGTGGACTGAATTGTGAATCTAAACCATTCTGTGCGTAAACACGCACAGAAAAAATATATATATATATATAAAGATATTTTTTTTTTACAGATAATTGGAGATGAGTTGATCAGAAATTTGTGTTTGGAACTTTTAGCAGTGAGTTTAGTAACTCTAGTACTGTTGCGTGACATAAAAGTGTCCTTCTGGGTAATTTGTTGTGTTGCATTTACTCTAATTGACCTATTGGGATCATTGTATTATTTAGGATTGACTGTCGAAATTTCATCGAGTATTATAATACTAATGTGCGCTGGATTAGCTGTTGACTATGCGGCTCATGTTGGACTAGAATTTACCCGTGTTACTGGCACTAGAAATGGTAATTAAAATGATAATTATAATGTTATACATTAAGCAATTATAAAATAAATTATTGCCATTATATACATTATTTTTTTTTTTTTTTTTTAAGAGAGATCTATAGCTACTCTTGGGGCAATAGGTCCTGCAGTGTTTAATGGCGGTTTAAGTACCTTCTTGGCCTTTGTTTTACTCGGAGCGAGTAGAGCTTATTTATTCAGCACATTTTTCAAAGTAGGTTTTACTTATAAATTCCAAGTATTTAAAATAATCGCATTACTCAAGTTTACACTGAAAACTTTTTTAAAATTAAATTTTTAATATTTTTGTATAAAGGTTAAGTTCAAGTACTAATGTTAAATAATTATTGTTTTAGCTTTTTACATCAGTAGTAGTGTTTGGATTATTTCATGGATTATTATTTTTACCAGTCGTATTGAGCATTTGTGGATCAAACGAAAAACAAAGAGAAGCAGATGTTAAAGTAGAGACAGTATGGGAGCCAAATAAATTTTGTACCATTCCTCTTTCATCTACTGCTACTAATAATATTAATAATAATCATAATCATAATAAATAAATTATAACAATGTATTGAAAAATTAAAAAAAAAATCGAGTGTTCAATAGTAAATTTAAAATTTTTTATTAAATAAATTTTTTCATAATAAAAAATAGTTATTTACTTTTTCCGCCTCGAAACTGTAGTCCACTCATTGTCACTGCCTGCAGCAACACTAGCTTCATCGGTTTCCATTTTTTGTTCAACTGTGCTACTGTTGTGCGATTGGTTTCTTTGAATCAGGACTTCTTCTCTTGACAAAATCCACGGCTTTAAATCTGGCAATTTATTTACAGTTGACTGGGCTAGTTCAATATTTTGGCAGCAACATTGATAAAGCTCCAACAACTTGCTGGCTATTTGTTTTTCACTATCATCTTCCAGTGAGAGGCTAAATTCATCAGACATGTAATCGGCTAGTTCGTCGGCCACTTCATCGGTAGATAGGTCCTCTAAATATAAATAATAATTTTCATTAGTATTCTTTAGTCTAATTAATTTTAAGTAATATTACATTGATAGAAGATTTTTTAACCATTGTCGTAAATGAAATTGGTGATGTAAGTTATTAATTCAATGGCATTGTCTTGAGATCCATGTCCATGTTCAACAGCCATCTAAAAAAATAAATAAATTATTTATTTAATACTGCTGATGAATGACAATTTTATTGTCTAGTTTTAACACCTGCAATCAAATAGTCACATTTATAATAAGTGATATTGACTCAGCTTTAATTTTGTTCGGTAATAAATGAAGTTACTTTAATTACTTCACGTCTCTTTAGCTATTTTATACATAATTAAAATGTGAGGACGCTTTTATACTTTATTCAAACGTGGCTTCAAGATTATTTGCGTGACTAATAAAGTGAGGCATTTTATAGAGACTTTATTGATTAGTTTTAAAGATGAGTAAAATAATTATTGAGCTGAGTTGAAATCCAATAAAAATGTAACTATTTCAAGTAGACTTCCTTATTTTAAATAGATAATTAAATGATTGTTTTAATTAAAGAATTGGCAATGTTACAATTCTATTTCTGACGTCAAATAAGCAATTCTTATTTTACTATATTTTTACTCGGCTTTTTTGTTCAATAAATCTTTATTATTCTAAGTATAACTGAGAATTGACTGTATTCATTTTTTTAATTTATTGTAGAGGAAGTTTTATTTCTTATTAATCTAAAAAATAAGAAACGTAGAGTTTTAAAATTGAATATTATTGTACCAGTTTTAAATTTTAAATGTTATGAAAATTTTTATAATTTGCAGAAAAAATGACACTTTTATTTTACCAGTATTCCTTAAATATCCCTATCAGGAATCTTTAGAGATAAAAAAACTCGAAAAGCTCCAATAATATATGTCAGTATTATAAATTATAATAAAAAAAATTTAGCAAAAACATTCCACACATACAAATTTTAAAAAATTCTAACTGCGAATTTTTAGAAATATTTTTTTTGTAATGATTGATTTGTTATAAAAATTTCAAATGAAAATTAATTTAGCATGACAATAAATTTAGCAGATATTTAATAATTTTTAGAATATTTTTTTTAAATAAATTACAGCAAAAAAAAATTAGAAAAAAAATTGACATGTAGAAATTTTAAAAAATAAAAAATGATAAATTTTAGAATTTTTTAAAGAAAATAAATTACGCAAAAAAATTAGAAAAAAAATTGACATGTAGAAATTTTAAAAAAATAAAAAATGCAATTTTTTAAAAGTAATTTTTTTGAACAAATTTGTTTGTTAAAAAAAATTAAAAAATTCTCTAGTGTCTGCTAACTTTAATGTCATTAATTTAGCAGATATTTTATAATTTTAAGAATTTTTTCAACCAATAAATTATGTCAAAGAAAATCAGAAAAAAATTGACATTTAGAAAATAAAACAAATAGAAAATACAATTTTTTTAAAATAATTTTTCGGAGCAAATTTATTAAAAAAAAAAAAAAAATTAAAAAATTATCAAGTGACTGGTAACTTTAATGTCATAAATTTCAAGAATCGTTAGATGTCTGCTAATATCAGTATCATTCAGTATCGCTAATAAATTTTCTTAATAATTATTGGAAAATATTAATCATAATTTTTTTTTACTATTGATATGCAGTTTATAAAAAAAAATAGCTCTCTGGTGTATGAAATCCATAAAAATTTAACTGAGAAAGTCACTTGTTTATAAAGCGGGTGTTTTGATAAACCAACTGTTAAAAAATTAAGAAATGAATTAATTAAACAATAAAACCACAAAAAAAAAATAAATTAAATAAAATTTCTTACCCGCAATGCTGTCCAATTACTAAATAATCGTTGCGTAGCAGTAGAAAAAAACTGTTTTGTTTCCGCCATGCTTACAACTTGTTATTTTTTAATAAGGTTAATGCTACTGGAACATTGACACACAGAAATAATAATAAAATTAAAATAACAAAACAGTGATTACCTCAGTAGGTGCTGCTCTCTATCAGACGTCACCCAACTAAATCTTATTTGCACCAATAATTTTAAAGAAACCGCGCTTAATAGCCAATGAAATTTAAATTTTCCGCCCAATCAGGAGCTCGCGCTGTCATCTTGAGACAACTACGCATCAGTTTACGCATGGTCGTTATTATAAGTTAGTCTCACACCGGTCACTAATGCGTATGCATGCTACTATTGTTTCAATTTTTTTCAGTGCTTAGTTAAGAGTAATAATAGATTTTAATTATTCCGATATCCCGCTCAATTACTGAGTAATAAACGAGGTTTGAGAGTATTATGCAGTCGCTTAATGTCAAGTGGTTGTAAATTTTTTATTTCAGCTCTTCCCATTTATACTGCTCAGATGCGATCCGGTAAGGTTAATAAAAGAAAATTAGACTAATTAAAATTAAATGAGTTTTCAATACAGTAGTTTTCAAGTAATTTGCATAATTAAATAAATTTTAATTAATTATTTTTTAGATGCGGGATTTATCTGGCAGTGAAGAAACAATTTTGATGAAAAATAAAAATTTTGATCAACATGGAAGGTAAATTTTTTCTGAAAGTCAAGGGAGGCAATTTTTTTTATAATGTTAAAATATGAAAATTAAGTTAGCCGACATTTAAAAATTTTTAAGATTTTTTTTCATTAAAAAAATGATTACAAAAAAATAAAAAAAAATTTTTCACTTGAAAAAAACTTCAAAAACTGTAAGTGCAATTTAAAAAAAATTTTTTTTTTCTAATTTAATTATTAAAAAAAAAAAATAAAAAAATAAAAAATGTCGGCCAACTTTAGTATCATTATTAAAGTAAGCAGATAAAATTTTGATTAATTAAAAAATATTAAGTGATTTTGAAGATCAATTTTTTTTATTGATTGTATCATAAGTTTAGAATCTGAAAATTGTAATTAAAAATTTTTGATCCATTGATTAATATAGTATATTTATCAGACATATTAAAAAATACATTCGTATAATGAAAATAAGTAACCTCGACATCAATAAAATTAAAGAATAATTTGTGAAGCCATAAAACTTGGCGCAGTAAAATAAGCTAGATGGATAGAAAATAAATACAACAAATGTTAAACGTTGGACATTCGATTTATTAGATAAGAGTACACTGTTTTTTATTTCTTTTTATGTTCATTTGACTTGAATAGGGAAAATACATATCACTATTATAAATTTATTATTATAATTTTCTATACTTATATTTTTTTGTATATATTCATATTTATACATAATATAGACATCATGGCACTCTTATCGATTCGCGGGATATAAAAAGGCCTAGATTATTTTTTCAACTACTAAAAATTAAACTTATTATTAATTATTTACTACGAGTGAGAAGTATCGAATCAAAAGAGAACATTTATGATTTTTTGTTTGATTTTTCCGATTTTTAAATAAAATTGTTGGTATAATAACTTGTAAAACAGATGACTGAAACGTTGAAATTCATAAAAATTTTTTTTTTGCAGAAAAGCGGACAAGGTCACGTGTAATAATTTATTCCATAATTATAATTTCAGCACAATGTTTCGATTTTTTCAGTCACACTTTACTCATATTAGAAAATTAACGGAGTTCAAGCTCATTAATTCGTTAATTTAAATAAATTATTTTCCGAGATCAAATAACATATGTTTATATAAACACCTATTAATTTAGTATGTGCAAATAAATAATAATTGTGGAAGAAATTATAAAACATGATCTTGTCCACTTTCCTGCGAAAAAAATTTTTAATATTATAATAGTATGGAGGCGAATAATAATATTGTTGACATTTATTCTTTGTGAGTTTGAAAGAAAATCAATTGCATGTATTGTATATCATATTTATAAATTTATATATAAAACTTTTTTTATAATAAGAAAAAGGACAAAGAATAAAATTTTTTTTTTTAATAAAATGAGAACCGACAAGCTCAATGTATTTTCAATATTTTCTTAAATATACATATATAATATATATTATACATATATATTATATATTTATAAATATATAAAAATATATATATATATGTGATGAATATCTGAAAATAAATCCAGCTTGCCAGAAATCATTTTTAAGCATTTAATTCTTTATCTCTTATTTCTTAATCGTTCTAAATATCAATGAACTGAATATTGGAAAAAATTAATCCCGAATATTAATGTATCTTTGTATTTACAGGATTCAACAAAACGAGAAGTTGTCTGATAAATGTAATCCCTTGATTATAAGCTTCTCAAATGATACAGACACAAACTCAGTGAGTAAAAAAAATGGATTCTAGGCATGTAAATTTAAGTTAAAAGTTAAATTAATATCACCTATATTGACATATACGTTAAACTCTGAATGCTTTTGAATGAATTATAAAATCAACAGTCGCAGTCATTAATCATCAATTATTTATAAATCACGATTAACGACATTATTTATTCTCTCTGTAACATCTCTTTATTTATTCAATTGATTTTATTATTTTCTCTTAATCAGTAAAAACCAATAAGATCATTCATCATTCAACATTCATAAATATCCAAATATTTAATACTGAAACACTCGTTAAATTATTGTTATATCTTTTTAATTGTTTATAATAATAGTAATTATCATTATTCTTAATATAAATAATTTCTACAAATAATTTTGTGCCATCAAAGGCAGACTTGCATACAACACACAAAATTTATTATTTATATATTTATTTACGTACAGACTAATATAGAATTTGTTATAATCACGACGTTATTGTTATTTATACACAAAATTAATAATTTTTATATTTATATATATATATTCATATTTATAATTAATAACTCTTTATTATTATCATGTGTGAACATTGATAATTATTACAATTTTTTAATTCAATTATTAATCTATTACAATTGTATACAACAATATAAAATTAAAAGATTTTCGATGTTGAATACAATCAGAAATCACCATATTATCGGCACACATTATCGTTAATGATTCGATAAAATAGCTTATATATAACATTCAACTATTAATTATTTTATTAATAAGAATTTAAAAAATTACTGTAATATTAAAAAAGTAAATTAATTAATATTCATTTATTATTAGTAATTGTAATTATAATTAATATTACAGGTATAAAATAAAAAAAAGCTACATTAGGCCGAGAATAAATCGTAAAATTTTAACAATCAAAAATTTTAAAAATACACACGGTCTCAGATAAAAAAATTTGTCAATTAAAAAATTAAAGTCTGCGGCAGAATTTATTTTACATTAATTAAAGTAACCTGTTGGAATGCTTTTATTATATTTATCTATTTTTTTTATACATATAAATATTTTTTGTGGGTTGTTAAAAAATAATTGGTACAGAATAGGAACGTCCAAAAAAAAATAAATTTTTTAAAAGACAAATTTTTTTAATGAGAAATATATTGATTTATATTTTCTTTATATTATTAAGATTGTTTATATTATAATATAGAATATAATTTATTTTTTAATTACTTAATAATATATTTTAATGCAGTGCAATATAAAAAACTTATAGAAGTCTACAAAACGATTAACGGACGAGAACGCCTAGAGCTATTAGCCGTTCCAGTGAAATTACAGTCTTTTTTTTATTATTATTATTTATTAAAATAATGGTTACGTACCCGGGTAATTTGGTTATCCGGGTTCGTGCTCTGGGATGGTAGAAACATCGGAGTGACCCGATGGGGCCGAATGCTAGACCCAGTACTGATTTCTCCTGAGCAAGGGAGCCGTTCTGCGGGTAGTCGTAGGCAAAGGAGGCAACTCTGAGGTATCGAAGCTGCTCCATTCATCAGCATCCGCGACCCCGTAAGGATACCGCGCGGAAATATCAGCATCTGAACCGGCGATGCTGTCCAGCGGATTCAAAGGAATAACTTTGCACTGGGGCAGGGATGAGGTGATGGATGAATGCAAAGAAGGAAGAGGCGTACTCGACGTGATGTCCATGTGATCGTGGTCATATCGCTTTAAATGCGGAGTAACAGGCATCAGATGATCAGGGGGTCGAGGTAAAGGTATAACCCCGACAGTAGGAGTTGGTTCATTTGTTTTGTTCTCTTGATTACCTTTGTACCTTTTATGTCGACACCGTATTAAAATAATAGTCAGTATTCCAAGGACAAATACACCTAATAGCATCCCCAGAATGAGAATATAGTCGTGATTAATATTGGGAGCAAGTGCCATTTCACCTTCGTGTCCCACCGGGTCCATCGGTCCTCCAAGTGTGTTATTAGACACCTCAGGATCCGATTTAATCTTCATCTCCAGCACACCATCTGCTGGCTGATATGTCGAGGCAGTTAGAGTAAAATTGAAGCTATCACGAAATCCTCCAGAGGCATTACCACTGCTAGCAGTGTCTGTAGTGTGTTTTCTGCGGCATACAACATAAATAACACCAAGTATGATATCACGATGAGAAAATCTCGATATTTCACGTTCTCTGGTGGTGCGTTTGTCACCAGAATTTCTTATAATACGCTTTAGTTTACAATTTTGTGATTTACCAGTTATGCGGTAAATTGGATTTCCATTAGTCGCCTCAGCTAATGGGGTTGCGTCCATTGATTTTAACGTTATCTGATTTTTATCACCGGCAAACGCCAGCATAGGTCGTATTATCATCAACGGTACAACTTTTATGGTTACTTGAATGCCCCATACCTCGTAATCACTTAATCGAGCTGAAAGTATAAAACTGTCGTTAGATGCGGTCATATCTGTTTGCACAAATACTACGCTCTTTGATAATAAATCCGGATGTTTAAATTTTATCGCAGCAATATCTCTAACATATAGAGTGCCGTGTCGAGGTGGGCTCGTTATTTCATATGTTACGTGTTCATGCC